ACAGTTCAAAAATGTTTAAGAGATAACACGTCACCGTCGAACAAACAGGTTCCTTTTTAATTTTAAAATAGCCTTACACAAGGGGCAATCGATCCTGGAAATAATATTATAGTATCTATGTGTGTAAGCCAAACTATCCAGGCTCGGATCTAGGATTTTTGTTTTGGGCGAGTAATACGACTGAATAATAGCGACGTTTTTACAAGTCATCATAAATTGATGAAATAAAGTAAAATATATTTATATTACGCCTTTGAGTATATATTGTATTTACACAGCTTACTCAAAGGTTATATACGTATTATCTTTATACGTTTTTTAGTGTTTACAAAAAAGTTTCATGAAATGTAAAATATAGGTAAGTGAAAATTGTTATGTTGACTCGTATGACGTATTCCAAAATAAAAATGACAACATGCGTGATAGGTAACTTGATTTCACCGACAGACTGTCAAGGCATTGATTTGAGATTGAGGGGGGATTTAATCGAAATGCTTTCTAAAATTTGTTTATGCCTATTAATATGAGTAAGACACGGTTTTTTTTTGTTAACAATGCATTTTACAAATTTCAGACTCTATCCGAAAATGTTGTCGAGCTACGGCCTTGGCAAACGGTCAAAATACACACAATTAGACACGACCTTGGCCGTGATCGTTTTCTCGTCCAGGAAACTCAGTGAAAAAGGGTTACTTACTCTAAACGGTATACTAGTAAAAACTATTATGTTGTACCGTGGCAATGCCGGATAGATAACTGACATAATCCGACTTGGCTTACCCATAGTACAAATAATGAGAAACTGTGTAGGTACCTGTAAGTTTTATTACAATAGAGTTAAAAAAAAGATGTACCTACCGTGAATGTTGTGCGGGGACTAGTAAAATCGATGGTAATAGAAATCGTGTGCCAAAAAAAAATAGTATTAATACAAATTTCTAAACACACGAATTCACGTATACTGGATGGAAATAATATAAATTATATTGTGCTGGCGTGCCTACGCGTATAAGGTGCAGGTAGGGGCACTCCAGCGGTATACCCACGGCCTGTGGGCAATATAATTCCTTTGTGTTGCTTGCTGCACATATACTATAATGTATCCTTACGGCCACATATAACCGTATAGCTTGTACATGGCACAAAATATAGTATAGTATTACGGCTAAGATTAACGTTTGTCTGACACCAAGGAATTAGTTACGATTATTTTCTCTACGTAAAAGGTATAGGTATAATTATACATTATGGTAATAATTCTCATTATTGCCTGCTTGGTGCCTTAAAACATATAAACAAATTTTTTTATTATTAATTTTTTTAGTTGCATTTGAATTTTGTTAATTCATTGTAATATACTGTTTTTAAGTATAACTCGCTTAATAACAATTGAACCAAACAAATTCAGTTCATTGGGGACGGGACCATAGCTGTAGAGATTGGGCGGTCCTAGGTCCGGAAGAATATTATTATTATGATCAATACGACTAATTATAATAGACCGAGTACTGGCAGCTATTGCTGTATGTACAATGGAGTTCGTTGTAGACTATCACAAAGTTGTATATTGTGATATTTTTGAAATATTTTGTTGTGAACTCCGGTTCTAGCAGCAATGGCAAACACATAAAACGGTAACAAAAATAAACAAATGGAGCCTGTACACCAGTGCAGTAGTATAATATACAACCCCCACACAGACGTGACGACGGTATAAGGGTACTCACGACCGAGGGTCGAACACGAAGGGGTGGTGTTGGTGCTGCGCCATGGTCCTTTGTCGTTGACTACCCCTTCTCCTGATGTATAATCTGTTATATTCGGTGAGTTTCTTTGTTCGACTGGCTCGCAGACCCTGACAATGAACACTACTGATAATACTAATAATAATATAATACATATATTTAACGCCCAGAGCGTTTTCTTGATAGCGTGGCGCGGGCGTCCCCTTGTGAACGACCAGTGGAGAGCGATTGAAAAATAAAAGAATGGTCTCTGATTTTTATGTCGGTGAACTGAATTCGGGTATTATAATACGGTTTAAAACACACGCATATCACTTTTTTTCAGTGATTATAATGGTTCCAAAACTAAAATAAAAACACTAGCCTTCATAGAAAGTGGAAGTGAATAATATTAAAATTACAACTGCTTACTTCAGAGGGCATGCGGGAGGAGAATATAAATGAAAAAAGTATAGGTACTTGTTAAATGTTGGCTCTCTAAATATATGATTTTGTGTTGAAAAAACTGAAAATTATCTTATTTTTACACATAATTATTTTAACTATTCTAAATACTGTGGTCGTTTTTCCTACATTTCTATGAATTTTTACCTCTTTTTTTTTTTTTTTTTTAATTGAGATCCCAATTTGAAATTTACACATTTTACGTACAATTTTCTCAGCTTTCAAACATAAGAACAATTCACAAATTTTAGGCAACATAAAAAATAACTTTTTAGGTTATAAATTAAATTTTAATGTTATTCTGCTACGCGAAAAAAAATTTTTTTTTCAGAAAGATGAGATTATTTTACATAAGAAACTGATTTTTAATAATTGTATTTTGGTGGCCTAAGATACTATTAAAATGAGGTGTCATGACAAAAACCCAAATTGCTTGTTACAATCATAGCCAAAATAGTCGAAAAAAAATCCAAAAAGATTTAAGAACATTCTTGTCATTGTAACAGACATGCAGTACAATTTTCAAAAAATCGGTGAGGGGTTGGTCAAAACGTTTGTCCATACTTGGTGTTTTGACCCTTATATCCATTGTTTCAGTATTTATTCAAATTACAAACGCCCTTTTACTCCTTATTGGATAAGCTTGTACTAGCAGAGTAAGCTTGAAATATTATAAACCAAATATGAATAAGTACATGCTATATAATAATAATAATGAATATAGATGATGTAATGTTGATAGGTTTATTCTTTTAAACAAAAGCGACAAAGACATAATATGTTTTTTATTAGTTTTAGCCGCCAGGGGCATGGTTTATTGCTTTAGGTATATTATGTTTTTTTCCACTAAAGTTAAAAACAACTAATTTATTTTTTCGCAAGTTTTAATTATATAAACATTTGTTTGGGGTAAAAAAAATACTTTTTAAAATTTCAAAATATTTTATTTTAGTTTATTACTCTAATACTTGACTTTTAATAAGGATTGTTCGAAAAATTGCCTATACTTTTTAATAAATTGTTGGGTAGTGTTCTCTTAAATAAAAAAATGTCTATATCCAATTTGTAATGATTTAATGGATTTCCTACTTGCTAGTACGAAATGGAAATTTGTAATTTCTCTAAAAAATAGAGGTACCGAGACCATATGCATATATACATTTACATCTAAAAGTAATAATTTAAAAAACAAGGTGTTTATTCCTATTAAATAGAACAAAAATTGGCATTCATTCCAATGCTCGTTTCTATTAACAGTGCTTAAGATTCTACATTCAAATAGAGACTACCATACATAATCTATTGTAGGTAATGCTTACATACATTGTGTGTACTGTGTGCATTTAATTTTATTACTTTTATAGTGCTTGCAGTTTGAGGCGTCGCGACAGTAATATGTTGTACCTATAAAATAAAAATATATATCTACCTGTTATAATAGTGTTACTACTATGAACTCCTACTCTGTATAGTCTACCGGCCGGTTCTCAGGTATGTGCCCTGTTGCCGTGTCAGTGTTTATTATTGTTTTTCTTCGAAAGACCTAACCAGGCGTGTACATAGAATATAATTAAAAGACCGGCTTGAGCCATGATCGTCTCGAAAATTTATTAAGTATATATATATATATATATATATATATATACCTTGGAATTATTATTATAATAATATTTCTGTAATAATAATTCATTTATATAACCCTATCGATGGCCGCTTTGCTTAGATTAGCCAACTAAACAAGCAGGTACTCTTCCAAAAATGTTCCTACAGGAAAGATACTTACATCATATTATGAAAGTTTAGAACTTTATCTGTGTCGCCTCGACAATTTTTTTAATAGTAAAAATGTCTTCAAGTTATATAAAACAAATATCAGAATGTTATTTATTATAAATGAACCTTCAAATTCTACATTAACTCTCTGTCTGGATTTTTTGGAAAGAAAACTTCGCCTTTTATTTGGAACCAAAAATTGGACTTTATTTGAAATCAATTTAAGAAAATCATTCAAACGTATGAAACATGCTAATATTACCATAAATATGGGTTTTTAACAGCTTCACAGGCAATTTAAAATAATAAAATCAGAAGTCGGATTCGGACCAAGCCAAAAAAATAACGTAATTATGGTTATTGTTCCAAAATCGCGTTATACAGTTGATTAAACTTAAATAAAATATTGTAAAAAGGAATTTAACAAACACAAATTGATCAAATGAACGCACGTTGATAACAAATTAAAACATAAACTTACTTAAACATTTTTGTAATTTTTGTAATTTTTTTCTTTTGTTTTTTTTTTATTCCTACTTAATAGAATCGAAAATTTTGGTTTAAAAACTAGAAAACAATTGTTGATTCCTATTACTAATTTCTATACTGTTCAGTTAATTATTGTCAATATTTTCAAATTAGATTGCTCCGTTCACGCATAAGCCTAGCTCGAATCCAAACAAAACAACAATGATTATTCAGTTAAATAAAAAAAACAACCTTTGCACATTTATGTTTTAATTATAAAATGTCTATATAAACAGTTAACATTTATCTTGCACATATCATAAATGGGTACTCATTTTGTTATCAAACATAAAATATTGAACGATAATCAATTTACTAAATTAACGTAAAAATAAAAATTAATAAAGCTGTATAATATATATATTTTATTTAGTTTTTTCCACACAATACATCTTAATAGTTACTATTGAAAGGAATCGACTATACAATACAAGAACAATGCTGTTAAGTCTTAATTATTAAATAAATAGAATTGTTACTTATTATTAACATCGTTCTAGTTAAAATATAATTTTAAACTACAAAATATGAAAGTGAAGAAAATAATGATAGATAACGTCACTCATATAATTTAAATATAAATATAATACTATTTAGTAACATTTTAAACATGGCAAAAATAATAAATAAAATTCTTAATTTTAACTTTGATAGTCATAGTCAAAATTTTCTAATTCTTAATCAATCGAGATTGGTAACTTTTATTAATCTATTTATTGCAAATCAATATTGCAGTGTACTATCGAGACTAAACCGCTACCACTATGGGCTATGATAATATATAATACTTGTATATTTTACAAGCAAACAAAAATAAATTAAATAAAGGTAGTACACTTTTGTAAGGTTGTATATCACAGTATATTATATTCAAACATTTTCATTTAAATTGTTTCTGGAAATATTAGGATTAGAAAACAATGGTTCTATTAATTTGGTTTTCAGTCAAGTCACCTATAAATATATTAACGTCATTTTAACATTTTTTTTTAGCGTAGATGTGCCTATTATAATATGATAAACTTATTGATAAACGTAATAATTTTTATTAGTAGTATAACTTGAATGTTATTTCAAACTGTTGCTTTTAATTAGTTTGATTAAAAAAAACATATAGAGAATAATAATATTCACAATAAATAAGAGATCTTAAACTTTCATTGAATTTTAACCGTTACTATAAAAGTGTAAAATGTATGTGAACAAACATATAAAATACACGGAACAAAAAATAAACAATTTGTATAAATTGATTTACAGAATTATAATTAACAGCTCGAAATTTACCACTCGTGCGGGTTTTAAGTTAAGTAAACTTAATAGTCAAAATATTATTAAATAATACTGTTTTAAAATATATTTATCTGTATGCTAGTTTACCGTATTTCACTTTGGATTTCTCTTGCCAAATGAAATATTCATTGTATATCAATTTTATGAGGAATAGATGAAAAATAACAATCAGAAAACCAATCGCTACCCAGAAAAATGTAGGCAGCCCTCCAAGATGATGGCCATGCTTGTGTAGTGCAATTACATGGTGTTCGTGGGCTGGAGCTGAAAAATGTTCACAAATTATCTATAAATCATCATAATAATATTTTTCAATTACAAACAAGTTCTGTTGTAATAATTTTGAATGCCTTGTTACTTCTCTGTCTTCACTATGCACCAAACCCACTGCACTGGCTTTTTGTTATTTAATTACAAATTGCCCAGTTCTATTTAATCGTAATAATAGTTACCTTCCAAAACTTCTTTAACGTGAATCGCGTGCCTTAAATCTTCCATGTGCTTCCTGTCGTAAGTGATATACAATATTGCTGTTACCGGATCGGTGATTTTTACGGGGAATGTCTTGTATTCGGGTCTAAAAAAACATTAGAAAATTATACTAATAATTTATTTTTAAGCAACTGCTACAACACAGTAATAATAATCATCTCGTTTACACACCCCAATAACACCGGATCATCTAAACAACCGCCATCGCAGGCATAATAGTTTTTGTCGCTACGGTCCATGGCCACCGATATCACAGCTTTATTGTCTTCTTGAACAATGACTGTGACATTAATGTGCGTCATATTCCCATAATTCAAACGCCTTACAAGATTACCAAATAATATTATTGTTAAAAAATTATGATCAGGCGGTAACTTTTTCATTCTTATAATACCTGAAGTAATAATCCCTGTGTAAAAATTTGGGATGCATGTTGAATTCTAGATGTTGGTTGCTGAAACGAAAATTGCCAAAGCTCAATACCATAGCTTGAGCCACACCTGAAGCGCCAGCTTTAACTAAATTATGACAACCCTAAAAAAATAAAAATTTCTAATTACTAACCAATATTCCTGAATATGTGTGTACACTCATAAATTATGATGACTAAAATACTAAAATAGTACTCCACTATACATAATTATAAAGCACAATTTTTGAAAAGTGGCTAAAAAATGTATATATTTAGGATTTGTCACAAATACAATTACAAATGAATCAATCATTCGAGAAAGGGATACCAAATTTTTTTTAAAAAAGTAAAAACTTCATAGACTACCTAAAAAGGTAAAAATTTATGAACTTTTAAAAATATCTATCACCAGAAAATGGAAATCTGCCATAATCTCACTTTGTCAAATTCGTGACTTATGTTCTTTCTCAAATGACTGATTGAAATGTGTTGTACAGTTATTAAGGTTATTATACTTAAGATTAGTATACTTGTTTTGAATTCAGCAAAGAAAACAGATTTAAAAAGATAATAAAACATAGGTACAGATTATACTGAAAATGACACAAAACAGTGATAATTTTAGTGACCCTTTTAAAAAATCAAATAAATGAGTAAATAAAAAATATTTGTAACCAAATTTGTATTCAACAAAAAAATGAACTTATTGTAGTTTTTATTCCAAAATTGATGGTATTTTTTATAATAAAATGTGACCCCATTATCAATAACAAATATTGCTGATGGTATATATTTTTTAATAATTTATAGTTTTGTAGTCTATTTATCTGTATCTTCCTCAGGACTAGAAAAAACGCAAGTCTAAAATTATGATTTTCTAATTATTACAGTATTGTATGTAGAATAGGAAACGGAATTCCGTAAAAAATGTTAACGTTTTAATTTACTTGAGTTATTACAGATATTTAAAAAGAAATTTGTAATTGAATATTGAAAACAGAAAAATTTAAATAAATTAATAGGTTTACACAATTATTTATATCTGTTTCAGTATTTGATTTTACAAAAAATGTAATTCAATAAACTATTTTCACCTGTTTTTCTAAAGTCAAAATCCAAAGAGCCACAGCATTATTTATGTCATTTAGGCTGTAAGGTTTTGGCCATAAAGCCTGGGCTTGCCTAAAAAACCATACGAAAAAGTCATGGATTTATTAATTATTTTTATTATTCCTATAACTGTTCCAACACTTACAGGGTGTCATAATTAGCACCGTAACACCCTTCCACATAAGATAGACTGTTTGAGACTTGAGAAAGAATAGCAGGAGGTGTCGATATTTCGTACGTTGGTGCTCTGATGCTGGATAGAACATAGTACATTGTCGCATTGATTAGGTCTCCATTTAAGACGTCAGCTGCTTTAGAAGTGCTTATAGAAAATCCAGTGTTCCAAAGTTTTTCCCAAATATTTATGTGAGTTTTTTCTACATCATAGTGTAAAATGTTCATCATATGCTGTGAGTAAAAAAATATTAGTAAGCAAATCAATAAAAAAGACAGAATAAAAGGGTGTTGTTCTTACTTCAATTGATTTGCTTTCCAACAATGGCTTGGCAATAGTAAACTCCGATGTTTGTTTTAAAACTGAATACTCGACTGATATTAGGACACGTAATTGATAAATTCCATGTGGCGATATCTAGAAAAAATATATTAAAACGTTAACATTTTGTAAAATAAAGATACAAAAACAATGTTGAATTAACCTTGACTTCGGAGGGATACTTAGAGCACACTATCGAAACACCGTAAATAGGATTCTTAGAAGTCGAAGTACTTATGCCAGAAGTTATTGAGAAATTCTCATTATAATCTGCAATTCTATAACATAAATTATTTGCAATCCAAAAAAATTATAATAAAATAATATGTTTGACTCACTTGATTGTCCGTGTATTGTACATGGACCAGGCGTGATTTTTGTATGGTTGCTGTTTTAGTTTAGCGAACAATGGGAAATCTGTTGGGTTAGATATTTCTATATCCTGAACAATAACCGACGGCAATGCGCGATACGCATAATATTTAACATTACTCCGCAATTTGTTTCCAAAGACTTTGTATCGATTTGATATACCAGTTTTGTAGTTGACCACAGTTGCCGATACCGATGGCCCTTCAACAATCAGCTCTACTATTGGAAACCAGTAAACAGGTACGGACAGTGCTCTGTCATTTTTTATATAGATTGGAGAATCGTTGTCTAGTGTCATACCGATGTAACCATTTCCCACAAATTCTTTAAAGGGGTTTTCATCAGGATATGGAGGTTCGTGTTTGATATTGGCGTTAAAGTTAATTGAGGCATCTCTAGGGTATATCAGAAGTTCTAATAAACGATTTTTCATGAATGCTTCGCTGTCTACAAGTATAAAATAAACATAAAAAATAACACTATTAATGAGAAATTTTTTTTTTTTAACAAGTTACATAAATGAAATAACGTAACTTACGTAAAAAAAACAAGACATTGATTAAGTACTACAACATACGTGTAAATGGTTATTTAAAATTAATTTAAGAAATTGACACGTCTAAAATGTAATTTCAGCATTTTTTTTGGTTTAAGTTAACTTGTTATAGTTTGTGATTAAAATCCCCAAATTCCAATAATTATTTATTTACAATATTATTTGTACGGTTAAGTTAGTATACATTGAATAAATATAACTCAAGCCACCAAAAGTTAAAGGTTTAAATTAAAGAACAAAAGAAATATCTAGCAAAAAATACGCTTTATATTATAATTACATTGCCTAGTAAACAACATAATATTGAAAACTGATTATTAGTATAATGAAGGATAAAGTGAATATGTACGTTACGACATGACAATTTAATTCTGCAAATAAATAATAACTACGAGTATCATACAAAAAAATAGTCACATACCATATTTTGAATTGATGGTGCTGGATGATCGCATGTACGGACTGAGATAATACAAGAAAACGACAACAATAAAAATGATAATTCCTATCTTCTTCGATCTGAGTAAATAAAAGTAAAAAAAAAAAAAAATTTTAAATACCTAATAAAATTTAAACAACTTGTAAGATGTGTTTGATAAGTATTTACATTTTAATTTTTTCCAAGCTTCTTTTCAGTCGATAAATTAAATCTCGTGGACTCATTGTTGAGGTAAGTCGAAAAAATAAATGTATATTTCAAATCAAATGTTCACGATAAACTTACATTTTTAATGAATATAAAGAGAATAACCCGTGAAAAAAGTTATTATGCCAAAGATAGAAATAAACAATGAACATTACTTTTTATACCTAACTAAAATGTCTAACACAGTAAAGCCACAATAATCTGACAATCGCAATCCGGCTATTTTTGATAATAATTGTTATCAATGAGCGTTGTTTATGTGGAAAAGTTTTACTGTGGGTTTGGAGACGGTGGGGAAAGGGCTGGTAGTAATTGTAAATGTATACATATATTAAATACGTTTAATCAATGGTGTAGATAAAAAATATCAATAAAAAAAATATATACATATATAAAATACAATAGTCAATGTGCATACAAATAGTAACGCTTTATTGTGCACAACAATATTTATACATTAATTATGAGTTTACTGACTTGTGAGTTGTGCTATTGGTACATTGCCTATTGACTGTACATATTTTTTAATAATTCTGAAATATTCACGCATTAAATATCATACCGTATGGTTGTTATGGGTTGTTCACTTTTATATTTTATTATTTTTCTGAACCAATGTATATAGAAATACATTTTTAATTTGTTTTTTAATAAAGGTGGGTAGACTACACTTGTTCCAGAAAAAACAAAATTGCCTTGGGCCGTCCCTCTAGCTTAAAAATCCTGGCAGTTTTGGATAATCAATGTATATGAAGGTGTTAAGAGTCTTGCCATATTGGCTTAACATACAAACATATATGTTTACATGCACATAATAATATATTTGATATTTATAATATATACTTGGTATAATTAATAATATTGCTGTTTCCACATCCCTAATGATACAAAATGCATAGTTAATTGTCAAGCAAATAACCAGATTCTTTTTGTAAGCACACGTTCCTCATGAATTCCCAAGGCTAAGTACACGCGCGAATAAACATTTAAACTATATATATATATATATATATATATATTAATACGAGTACATAAAGTTTCAATAAAATAGTCTAAAACTAACGCTGTGACCCTTTTACGACGCACTATGCGCGTGAGATTCTGAAATCATAAAAATATCGTATGTATATTCAATATACTATATTGTTTCCGCCGGATACGACATGTGTGTGTGTGTTGTATTAAGGAATACAAAAAGCCCTCAGACCTCTACCACGTCCGGAGATGGTCAAACGTGACATGAATGTGATGAGTGATCTATGCGCCGTCTGCAACGCAATACATATTTCACTTATTCCGTAGACGGCGAATGAGCATGCTAAATAAATGTTCCACAGGCGACAACCGATGGTACCATTACCAGTTACCACTGGACATCCATAGTAGTGAGACCGTTCACGCACAGGTAATCCCGGCTTGGGAGACAGTAATCTGATTCATTATCCTTTTAAAAAAATAAAGTCTTAACGTAACTACTTAAAATTATTTAATGTGAATATTATTTCATCTTGTGTTTATTATAACTCTACAATTAATGTGGAGAAGAGGAGGAGACGTCATACCACATCATGTGTGAATGTAACTCCCTTGCTACCCTAAGGCAAAGTATCTTTGGTAGACCTTTTCCTGGACAGGATGAAATCAAGGATACTGGGATTAAAGAGTTACTGAGATTTATAAAGGAATCAGGACTATTCAACTTAGAAGGTTATTAACTGAGCAGGACATGGGCATGACAATGTGAAACAGGACTACGGTGAGAGGGTGTGCACAATGGACCTGTAGGTCTGAGTGCATGGGCCCATTCTGGGCCCACCCGTTAACTAACTAAAACTAAAACTAAACTCTACAATTTATTACCAAGTATCTTGTGTATAATTTAATTAAATGATCACCCAAAACATGTATCAACCACGATGTGTATCAAGATCATTAAACAAGTGCCTTTAATATTCAAAGGCCTGCCAACGATGGTCTTAACACCACTTCATACGTGCCTTACCAATCAAAAGTCTACGAAGCAGGGTCTCAACAAAGGCAAAGATGTGATTTTAAGATGCTAAATTTTTATCTATTGTTTACTCAGTGTTGTCTGTTACGCCCAACGTTCCTTCTATAAAAGATTTAGTTCCTTTTTTTATTTTTATAAAATAAAAAACAAAGGGTTTAATTCACTTTTATACTAAACAGTAAACACAGTTTTTTTATAACACATTATCATTTAATTTAAATTTAAATCATAAATTAAAAATATAGTAGATACAATAATTTTGCTATGAAGTATTGTAGTGTTTAGTATTATTCTTTTCGCTTAACATTAGTTTTAAAGGAAAATAATTTAGCTTAAGGAACAATTTTTGAATTACAAATTTGGTTAAGGCTTTACATAATTTACCAAACATTTATACAAACCTAATTCTTTAATTTAATGTAATCTGTAACTATTGTGAATTATTATTTTTATTGGCGGGGATTGAACTTGATTTAAATGTTGTCCAGCAAAAGAACCAATAGGTATTAGGTACTAACTAGAAAAATGTCATGTTGGATTTATAATTTTTTTTATTGCTAATCAAAAAAATTAAAATATTCTAACATAACAAAAATTATGAAAGCAGATAGTAGCAGCCGACAGTTATACGCAGTCATATTATTATAATATTATATTTATACTATATTATAGGCTATAGCATAAGTAAGTACAGTATGTTATGAGATGCCTACAAAAAGGTAAAAAATCGTCTAATAGTAAGTTTTCATTTAATTAAATGAAAAATGGATATGGAAATTGGAATTTGAATGACATAAATTATAATATAATTGATGACTGATAAGAGCCAGTTAAACCAAAGAGCTTATAATAAAGGAAATAGGCGGGCAATTTCCTTTATTATAAACACAAAACAGAAGAATCTTATCACAATGACACATTCATCAGTGATAAAGTCAACCGACATTTAGATTTTCTTAGAAAATTTGGAAAATAATAATGCATTGCTTTTAAATTTCGGTATGTTCGACTTACATAAAACTATTTTTGAAAACATTACATTAAGATCGCAAGATATTTCTTATTTTCAATCATTTTGTGTGTGGTAAGTAATCGTTTTCATTAGGATTTTATTATTGGTATTACATACAAAATATTTGGTGGCAGAAATTTAGTAGTTTTTAGATGATTTTTTGTGTACTTTTAATTAAGTACTCAACTTTTTTATATGTATGTAGGTAACGGATATAAAAACTAAATCTTAAAACCAGTCGAATAGTATAAATTTGATTAATGAAATGTTACTATATACCTATTAATTTTGGCTCATTTCTTTGTCAGATTTGAGTTTGAGAACGTTTATTATTCTTATTTGTTACATATACTTGCACAAATTTATAGAATATTTTGTTGCTTGTTAAGACAAAAAAAATTATTTAATTAAAAAATATGTACCAAATTTATCAAATGGTATTGGATTTAATAATTTATTACCGGCCTCCACAACAGTTGAATACTCTAAAAAGGTCACTAAATTATAATATAGTGGTTGGCTAAATCAACTATTTGTTACTACCTTCTAATATTCGGATTGCAACTTTTACTATCAACTAATTAATTAAATACTTATTGAACAACTGAATAATTTTAGTCTATGCCTAAATTGCCCAACTAAATATATTTATTGACAACAATTTTAAGATTGGTAAATTCTAATATTTTTACGTTTTTAAAAATTAATTTACAAAAGCAAATATAACTTATTAATTATTAATAATTAATTTGATTAATTATTTGTTAAAGCAATATTGACAGTAGGTGTAATCTTTTTATTTTTAGTATAAATCAACAATTATTATATTTTCGTAATAAGTATAATAACTAAATTTGTCACAAAATATTTTTAAATAATTTGGTAGGAAAAAGTTGATTGGACCCAAGGGTACCACTGGAAGTTTAATAATGATTTGTTAGCACTTAATGAACATTTATCTGTCATAATTGTAGTTACTAAAATTATAAATTTTCAGACGTTTGGATTAATACACCAAAAAAATAACCATGCAGAAATCTATGTCCAAATCTGAAGTCCGGTGTGCTAGTTTAATTAACAATGTGCTCAATGAAAATATAAATGTGGACGAAATCATAGACAAGATTAAATCTGCTGAACAAAATGTACTTATTTCAACACAATTTTAACAACTGTATTTAATATTCAATTTAATTACTTTTTTAACAATTTTGGTTATAGAATGTTCGTCCGGGTGTTGGCAAAATAGAGTTCACTGTTTATGTAATTGATTTTATTCACAATAAAACCATGCCGTAAGTAAATTATTGGCAGTAAATTAATATATTTTGGATGTTGACTTTTTATTTATATATATATTTTTTTTTTTGAGGCTCATTAATCCACCCGAAGACATCACTGAAATTGGTAATGTATTTAATGTACCAGAAGTCGAATCACCTACAGTTAAAAGAATATTGCCAAAAACGTCTACGCCAAAAAAGATTGTTCCAAATCAAGATAAAAAAACAGTGCAAATTCAAACTCTGACACCAAAGACATCTAAAATAAAAACAAATGGTAAGTTATTCTGATGACATTGTAAATATGTTTTATCTATATGTATATATATATATATATATATATTTATATATATATATATTACTCATTATAGTTGTTTCAGATACTAATAAAAAAAATCGAAAATGCCTAGACCTACTGGCTAATTTATACGCTGCAGTTTTAGAATCTAATATTTTATGTAATTTATATCACGAGCTGGGGTTCGTGTTCACTCTTCTCAGCTTAAACAATTCAGAGAAGAAAAAATCTATCGAAAGCTTTAACTCTAACACTATAATTTATTTTAAATCAAGCGATGACTGTCAATATTTTGCTTCAAAATCGATTGAAAATTTATTGTCAATCATTACCCACTTAGAAAAACCAATTGTTAATATTATCGTAAAACAGAAAGCAGTCAATATGTATGCACCAGATATTGCTAAAACTGTTGACTGTAATATGAAGGTCACAGTTAGTATAGTATATTAGTAACTTAATTATTTTTTCTTGTGAAAATATAAATATATTTTTAATTTGTATGTTGTCTTTTTAGAACGTGAGTGATGACGCAAAATTACTTCATTCGAGCGTGACCAAAGGTACAGTAAAATTTGACGAGGAGCATGATACGAAAGATTGTTTTCCGACCGTAAAAATGTTTTACGCATTTAAAACCCAACGAGACGCATTTTACGAGCTCTTGGAAAACTGGAAACAAACCGAAAATCAAACCCAGTTGAGTCCAAATAAAGTGGCTTACATTCAGAAGATGTTGAGCGAACACAATAGTGCCGTAAACATGAGTAAATTTACCAGGCTCTTTGTCACGCAGTTGATTAACTCTTCGTTCGAAGAGTCAAAGGTCATTATTTTTTTAACAAATAATTAATACGCATTGTGTTAATAATCTATTTGTATCGTAGAACGTTTATAAAAGCAAAACTCTCAAAGAGTTATCAGCTTCCAAGTTGGAATTGCTTCATCAGCGTATCACAAAGCGTGATTACACTAGTGGGAGTAATGTTAATCCTTCGAATGAATTTACTGGCGTCCAATTGTTTTTCAAGGAGTTCATCACGTTGTCGTTAGTGAATGGAATATTTTGTAAACATTTAATTGATACTTTGGTGCACAGAATCGACGTGATCAATGCAATGGAGTGGGCTTCTGAATTACATGAAGGTTTGGAAGAATAATTAAGGGGGTTAACAAAATATTTTTACAATTTTCATTAGTATTTTTTAATTTTAGGTGGAATTTTTCAACAGACTTATTTTACGTATCTCGATACATTGCGATTGTTGGCCAAATTTCTCGCTTTTACATTATATTATCCGTATAATGGCTGCAACATGATTAATCCAACTTTAAAAGAATATCTTTGGGATATTCGTTCCAAGGTAATACCACATTTTAGATAAAACATTTCTAACATCTAATTTTGTTTATTACTCTAAATTAAACCAAGGGTAGACGATTTGGTGAGTTGTAAAAGTGGCAGTGTTTAGCGTTCACTATCTCCGGCTCAGCACTCGGTCTAGTTTGCCCTTGTTTCTAGTGATGGTCTATCAACCAGAGTTGGCTATTATTCCAAGCAGTATTCCTTTATTTAATAATTCATTATTTGATATTCGATCCCACACCTTGAGACCTTGATATAATTTCCTGAATTAATGATATGATATGTAAATACATTAAATTTTTATTCAGAAATAATAAAAGATGTACTAATATACAGATTATTTATAATTTATTGTTTAAAAAGAAATTATTTGAAAATGTATTTATCTTCTATTTAAAATTTACCTAACACTGCTAAAAACTTGGTAATATATTTATTCTTATTTTATTCCATTGATTCAGGTGTTACCACCATTGAACATACTTACCAAACTACGTGATGCCGTCAAACATGGACACGGACAGATTGTGTTAACTGTATTTTGGGTTGTCGAATACTTATATCAAGTCGATCAAATTACGATTACAACACCATTTTACAAAAGCGTTTTGACGTGGCTCTACGCGTTTTGTATGAATAGCAAAGTTGTCTCTAGTTCTGCTTTAATTTTGAGATTTCAAATCAACTCAATGTTCGATTATATTAACATAGCACCTCACATGTTATTTGATGATGCGATCAAAATTCGCGAAAAAAGTAAATATAATTAATATAAAGTACTTTATTGTCAAGCATTTTACTAAAATTTATTTTAAAGATTTTGTCGAGAATGTATGCAACGCATTGAAGAACGACCCGATTGTATGTGCAAAACGGCTTTACCACTATTGTCCTCAGCTAAATAACTATCGTACAATATTGGAAAATAAGACCAACGGTAAAAAACAAAAATTTGTATCACCCACACTCAGGTCTACCAGTCGAAAAGAAATACAACAAAAACGACTAGTAGAGGTAAATATAGTGATATATAGAAATATATTTGAGATGTTTTTAAATTTGTTATTGAACTTCCAAGTTGGAGCTGGAATCTCATTTTTTCGAGAACCATTCCCCTTCAGTACTGACGACTGTTGATTTTGTTGCTAAGCGATTAGCTTCTGCATGCACCAAAATGATTCAAAATAAAGGCGTGGCCGCCGTTAAAAGTCATTTTGTCAATATTGTCTGTGACAAGCTCAAGAATCACATGAACACAATCGTAGTGAGTAAACATACTATGCATGTATAATATAATTGAAATTGAAATTGAAGTTAAAAATAACATTTTGCATAGGAGACAGAATTTAAAATCGACGAAAGTGACGTGTCCAAGTGCAGTATGTTTATGAGCACAACAATTCAACAGTATGTGGACAACTATTCCAAAAATAACATACCAAATTCATTAAAAGAATTATTGGATCCAAACACGGTGAATCCTAATTCTCTACCATTTTGTATCGCCGTGACAGTGAGAAAATTTAAAACTTTAGTTTCCGAATGGGTTAAAAACCATATAAACATAAAAAGTAAGCCTTTATATGTGCCTTTTTAATAAAATAATTTAAAAAAAATTACAATTACAGGTATTTTCATTGATTATATAAGTACGGAACTGAAACAAAATTTAAAAAACGGCACTATAAATGAAGACGGAAGCAATTTACAAAAGATATTAATACCTAGTCAAAATGAAGAGTCTGACATTAACCTGTTCATTCCAGAAAATGACCTCATTGTGAATTTAAATGTGAGTGCCGATTTTATTTCTCTAATAACATTTGTTTAATTTTACTACTGTATATATCAAACATAAGTTAGTTTTATTATGTCACAGGTATTAATTTGTGTTATGTTGACAAATAGCTAAATTCGGGACCTTCAATTAAAATATTTGTTTTTGTTTTGTATTTTAACCGATATTATGGGGATTTATATTTACGGTTTTTTAAAAATATTTAAACACCGTTATATTAATCTAAGTGATAATGTTTTATTGAGTAATGGTTATCTGATTTTTCATTTTTATTGCTACAATGCACTATGCAGGGACATACATACATATTTCTTAGCCTGTTCAATGTACTCTAACCTTGCCTTAATAACCACAGTCATCTTATCAGTTCGCATAAGTCTGGGATTAGCTTTACATTCATTACTATCGCACCTTGCCTCTTAGTCTTCGCTTTTTGGCAGTTCAAGTTGTTATTCGTTAAATTTATCAACCTGTAAATAAATAGGTAACTATATCCAATTTTATAAGAATTTTTGTGTTTTTTATAGTATTATTCGATTTTCAAAGGGAAATGGGTGAACTATTAAAATTATTGGCCATAGAAAGAATCTTATGAATACGATTTCTAATCTACAGACTTTCCACTTTCAGAAATCGGTTTGGTGGCTTGTGAATCTAGACACAAAAATATAACAAAATTGTTGTAAAAACAATACTGTCTCAAATCCGCATGAAGGCTAATAAAACATTCAAACTACTTTTTTAATTAGAATAATATAAATGTACCTATTTCCTCAAGTTAATAGTATTTCCTGTAATAAACTATGAAAAAATGTAATAATCACTTTATTTATTTGAATTTAAATGAACAATAAAAAATATTATACCATATTCGATACCATATAACTTATTTATTATTACTAGCATTTCTAGAGTTTTGGTTGTGGTGTTAATATATTTATACTGGATTTATGTCTTTTTTTTCCCTCGATAGATATTTAGTTTAAAAATAATCGAAATCGACGATTATAAATTAACAAAAGAAGATTTGTTTAACTATGCAGAAGAATTCAAAGAAATCTTGGAGAACAAAAACAATATGGAATTAACGGTATTTCGTTTTATTTTAACGAGACTATTGGACAACCTAATGTTAGCAAGTAAGTTAAAAATTATTTTCCAAGAAACTAACTCGAATACAAAAGTTATAGATTTATTATTTTTTGTCTTCTAGCATATCACTCGCCCAAGTTAATCACAACAGACATAATCAAAGTATATCATCCATATTTTAACGAAAGACAATTTGACGTTTCCACAATTCTTTGTGAGCGTAACATCAATTTACTATCGGAAAAATCTAATTCACTGAAATCTGTAACTGGTGATAAAATAGCTGAATGGATTAAATATTTTATTGAAAATGAATTTTTAACTATCGATGACTTGACCAATCAAGTAATGTCAATATTACAAACATCCTGGCCTGAAGTAATTTAATAAAAAAGTGATATATCGTTTTAAGAGTTTTATTATATATATATATCTTCTTTTTTTACATTTGCAGGACACGCTGAAGTGTTTGTCAATTTGTTTCAAAGATTTGAATCACGTTTGCATGAAGAAATTCGACGACAGTAAAGTACAAGAACTGTTTCTGTGGTTAACTCATTTTATGGATGTAATTGAAGATTATGACGAAGGATATTAATGCATAAACTTTAGATTAGTTTACTTATTTTTTTAAGTACAAAACACGAATTTATGTTAATTTTGATGATTTTTTTTTTTACCAAGAAGACTGATTTGGATCCAATTAGATGTAGTGATTTTGAGTGATAACTTTGAAAGCATAATTATTTTTAGCGATGAATTTACTTTTGTATACTTTTATTGTAACCATTTACATATTTTTTTCTTTTTGTTATTTATAATTTATTCTCAATTATTATTATTATAATTGTATAAATATAAATTAAGTCCTTTTGGTTTTTATTAGTAACGTTTTAATATTATTTTGTTTTCAATGATTATCAGTAGACTTATTTAAAGGTTAGATAGTGTACCTAGAAAGGTTTACAATGATGTGTTTTTTGTGTGTGGACCCGCGATATATCCCAAACCGATGACTAATATAAAACTAAATGTTTTATGGCCAAAAATGTCCTCAATCTTCCAACAATCTACACATTTTTCACTTCAAAATTTTGGCTTGCTATAATTTTTTTTTTTTTTAATAATTACATTGTATGAAATATTCTTCAGATAGAGTACTACCGATAAACAGTGAAACCCTGAGAAAATATTATTAACACTTTCATCTAGAATGGGTAGAAATGTTTCATTCATTTCGTTCTTTTAGATGTTATTTTAGAACTTACGTAAAGTCTAAAAATTATACTGACAGTATATTAGGGTTATAAAGTGGTCACAAAAGTCTATAGTCAAACTCTTTACTTATTAAGGAAAAACTAAAAGGGGGGAAACTACATTTTGTCCGTTTTCAATTTCTAGGTTAGGCTATTTGTGAATAAACCAACAGGTATCAGAAAAAATATTTTCATTGAATTGTTGATCACGATATATGGGTAACGGCGACAATAAATTGTTATATACAGGCGATCAACCCCAATCGTATCTACCCTATTACATTAAGAAACATAATTTTTTAATATAGATACTAATAATCATTTTTACATTTTTAAAGTCATATTTTTTTTTTTAGTAAACCCAATAAAAACCAAATAACACGGTTATAAACACGTTTATTGGCAAAAAAACGATTTATATTCAACGCTTTTTACCATCTACCTATCACTTAGCATCGAAGCGTTTATTTTGAAATGATTTAATCACTTTCATTTGTAATGACTCCCAAAGACGTGTAACTTCCCCGACGCCATTGTGCTGGCTTTTTGGCGTTATTGTCCGTTGTTGTCTATGTGGAATATTGCCTGAGTCGAATAGAACGTTTTGTTTGGTATTTTTTCATTTATTAAATACCTATACTTTGTGTATTGCGCGATAAAAATATAATACCAATTCAGGCTACACCTAATGCGAATTTAGACCGTTCATAGGTGTTGTTCATACAAAGGCGGCCTATACCTATCTACGCCGTTGACCCGTACCAGATAACCAATTGACTCAGGCCGGGGCCGGGCAGATTGTTATTATTGTTGTGATTACGAATGAATGATGAAACACTATTCGTGTTAGATCTCTCACAGGGCCATTCGATTATAGACCAGTGACGGGACGTGTCGACCATGTGGCGAAAAACGATAATCAATATTGTAATTTTGTGTTTTGCACTGTTCGTTACCTGTCGAGGGTGCGAAGAGAGGTTCGCACCGTTAGAGACGGCCAGGGCAAAATTGAAATCTACTCAAAATGGCTTCAAAATGTCGATTTTTGGTAACCCCGACAAGTACATACCCCACTCCGGTTACAGCGGTGAGTACACAAATAATTATCTTGCTCAAAATAAGTCGTCCATCGACAGATCTATGTAGTTAACAAAATTACCATAAATCCCATTATTAAAAATCAATGGTAAATAACAAGCCTCGGTTCTGTATTTTAATGTAGTCATACATTTATCTTGGCTTCAACTCTCGAGACTCGAAGCTAGGCAAGTATCGATTTTACAATGATGTTCTTTTTTTACTTTTGCATTTAGTAATACTGAATGTATAAGAATACCTTTGGTGGGGGGAGAGGGATTGACACAATTAATTTTTGTCTAAATGGTTTGTATCATGCGTTGAATTTTTTGGAGAGCCTACTTTTTAGGAGGCAAATTTTGAATATAAAACGTTTTACAAAGCTAGTTTGAGTTACAAAATTTTGATATTAGGTGTTTCTCATTGCCAATGAGATGGGCAAAATGGATTACACCGTAATCTATTACAAAAGGAAAACGGATAAATTGTAATCCGGGTTTAATGAAAAAATTTGATTATATTAATTTCAATAATTCAGAGATTTTGGATTAAGGATCATATTTAATCCAGTAATCGCCCTAATTTACGTACTTCGGAATACATTAATAATCAGTAGGTAATCTCTAGTTTACGGATTACAGATTACATTATTAATCCAGGATTAATACAAATTGGATTACATTTATTCCAGTAATTTAACATTATGGATTATTTTTTTATTCCTTTAGTCCAAAACGTTGTATTTAAATTATTTTTTTACTTTGACGAGGAGCTGAAAAATATTGTTGTTTTTACAATAATATATTTTATTTTTACTGTGGATACGATTTAACGCTAAGCCGATTTCTACATGCAGCAAGTCTAAAGATCATAAATCGTACATGTAAATTTACTTTATACGGCCAAAAATTTAAAATATTTAATCGATTATGGTATTATAACATGAATTTTTATTAATTTAGTTAATGAAGTTAATTCAAATAAAAAATAATAAAATTATTTTATAATAAAATAAAGTTTATTGCAATAATAATAACATTTATTTATTTTCAAAATTTAACAAAGTAGTAATCCTGTAATCTTGGATTAATGGATTAATTGTAATCCATTAATTCAACATAACATTAGAATAACGGATTATTTTTAACCCAAGTAATCCTGGATTACTTTGATTAATTGAAAAATAATTATCCAGTAACCAGGTATTAATAATCCTGTCCATCTCTGCTCATTGGTTTACTGTTTGTGATACGGTGTGACAATTTTATAAATCGAATCAGTTAAACGATCATACTTATTATTGACAATATTTATTAACACAGTAACCGTCGACAGCGATAACTTGGACTTCAATTGGTTTATGGTGACGGCTGAGAGGTTATGTGACGAAGTTGATGAAGAGGAATGTGGAGATCCAGCTTCGCCTGATCGAGCAGGTTCGCTACAGCTGTTACAAGGACCTGATGGTGACGTGACATTCCATCCTGAATGTATCAACACATTAGTGCAATCTAAACCCGTCGAAGAACTCAAAAGGCCCAAAATCGAATTTGTATGGATGGCTCCAAAATCCGGCAGCGGTTGTGTTTACATTAGGTAAATACTTAAACAGCGGTCTTAAAAGAAAAGTAGGGTTTCTACAGTTAAGGGGGGAAATAAATGGTTGTGAATGTTGAGATTTATGAGTGCCGAGTGGGGTGACTAGGTTAAAGTAAATACAAATTTTAGGAATATGTTCACATATGTTACCTTATTAAAAGGAAATTTGGAAATTAATAGAAGAAAAGATAAAATAAAATACAGTTTGAGTTGTTTTAGAGCTCGATAATGTTGAACGAATGAAGAAAAATAAAATAGTAAGACGGATAAGAGAGATTCGATTTTGAGGTACACCCAAAGAATTGCCTTGGCCATAATTTAAGTATGAGTGAACATTTCTTATTCTTGCTGAAAGGTAACTTTTTTAGAGCATTGTTGTCACAAGTTAACCAGACCGGTACAATCCACGAAACAGAACTTCTCACAGAGTTGTGCGAATTAGTCGAAACGTCTTCGAGTCGACCGACCGAAGAAGACACTAAATGTTGTGCTTGCGACGAAGCCGTGTATGAGGTAAGCAAGTTAAAAAAAAACTGACTATTGTAATGAAATAAGTAGGTTAATACAAAAATCAATTATGATTTCATGTTATCCATTCGTGAATTAGTGTTTGTTATTATAAACAAATATTGTTAAGAACATGTTAGTTTTCTATGAAACATCTTCTGAACGTCGGTTAGTTTTTTATGTATGTACGTCTCTAACCTTATCTAACCTTAGTCTTTGGCCGGATGTCGGTTATAAATAGACAATAGTTTATACGGAATTAAATTGAAGTTATATATATATACATGATTTACGTCATAAAACATATCAGAAAACGTATATCTGTGCATACTGTGCATGTAAGTAAAATTGAAATACCTACCTATTGTTTGGAATAGTAAACTATTTTTAACTTAAAAAAATATTTTAAGATAAAAAAAATACCCAGCACACTAGGGATGGAGCATATTGGGATTGAGGGAGTCAAAAGTTTTCAGAAATTATAACTGAAAGTGATTTTAATAACAATAATAAATGAAAATAATGTTAAAATAATAATTTGAATAGCTAAATGGGGTCATACCATCAACTTAGTCTGAAACAGTTCCAATCATGAAAGTTATAGGAACATTAAAAAAATTCTTTGACTTAAAAGTTTCACCTAAAACATTAAGAATACTGTCGTATTTTATTTGTGGTTGATGTAAATTGTAAAGTTTTAAACCGTACAGCGAATAATTATGGGTGTAACTTTCTAAAAGTTTTCTAAAATGTGTTTTAAAAAACTATAACTTTTTTTTTGAGTACTTATATAAAAAAAAATTCTGAGGGAATGGAAAAACTTCTGCTTGGAAATTTTATTCTAGAATTTTTTTCTATAGCAGCTGTTAAATAAAACACACTTTGTGATTCACCGAAACGCGTTTTGAATTTATACTTATAGATGAAATTCGAAGGACTTTGGTCGGCCAAAACTCACTCTAAAGACTTTCCGACCGCACTGTGGTTGACCCATTTCAGCGACATTATAGGAGCGTCGCACGACAAGAACTTCTCGCTCTTCACTGAAGGCCAATGGGCTACCGACGGGGTCAGACAGCTTGCCGAATGGGGATCCACCGGCATTTTGGAATCCGAACTTAGGCAACAGGTAGGTAACTTCATATTTAATAATCTACTATCCATCAGCCCTGGCAAAAATAAAAAATAAAATAACGTGCAACAAATGCCTTGGTAATGTCTTAAGAACCCTGAACAAAGTTTTTTTTTAAGCTTCGATTTAAGCTAAATTAATTTTATATAATATTTGCAATCAATAATTAATCTAGTGATTTTAATTAAATTGTTAAATTATAGATTACCTTATCGTACTGATTGTATTATTTACCTGAATATTATGATGACTGGTACCGTTTTTCTACGAAATAATACAAATAGTTATGCGTTTGCCATTTCAGTTAATTATAACTCTGTTATTACTATCTACATTCTACATAATAAAAAAAAATGATTTCGGCTTATAAGCAGTGTCTCATCTAGATAATCTATTTATCGATCAACTAAATATAAAATGCGTTTCATTTAGATTTAAACAAATTATATCTTATAGTTTATCTAGATGAAATATTAATTAAATTATTATTATGAAGAATCCAGAAAAGTTAATGTTTTTGACTTGATACCTTTTGACTAGGCACCGAAAAATATATATTAATATTTAATTCAACAATACGGTAGATAATTATTATTATTCATTATCGACGAACATTGGCTAATCTGATTTTATTTAATACTTATTATACCTTCTAGATTACTATTTAATTATACATATGATTAACACTGCCCAGTGCCCTAACTTAAGCACATGTGGCCTGTAAGTACAGAAGCAAAAATCAAAATTTGAAAAATGTTTGGCCACAAACACAACCTTGATTGGGTTTGGGTTAACAAGTGGTAAACGTGTACCACGTTTTAACAACGTGTTAAGTGGTATTTTTTAATATTTTTTTTTATTTATGGTTAATATTTTTAACGCTTTTTATGTCCTAAATTCAGAAAAGACATTTGAGGACTCTGATCAAAGCTGCCGGCCTGTGGCATCCTCGCGTCAACTCCAACACCACGTCTAAGTTTCGGGTTGACCGGAAACATCATTTCGTTTCAATGGGCAGCATGATTGGTAATTCTATTACTTTTAATATCTTAATAAACATCATGCTGAATGTAAAAAAAATGCTTTCAGGACCATCTCCTGATTGGTTCGTGGGCGTTAACGGCTACAACCTGTGCGAAAAAGACTGCCAGTGGGCTCGGACCAGAACTGTTGACTTGTACGCTTACGACGCCGGTACCGACAGCGGCCGGTCTTACTTGGTAAGTACACAGATACAAACAAGTGATGCTCAGCAATGTTACTGAGCTGCCAGTGCAATATTATGAAATAGATGGGTTTGAAAAGACAAAAAAAAAATGACCAAGTATAAAAGATTGCTATGCGACGTGAATGTAGTGAATTTTTTTGTACCAAAACGATTGATGGGAAGGATTCTTTATGGGGTTGAAAGAGGATATTTATATAAAGGTACAATAGGAATAATACTATTATTATAATAACAATAATTATAATTACAACAATTTATTATTGAATAATACAATATATACTCAATGATTACACAAAATTCGTCTATATTCACCATTCAAGTTTCAGTTAGATTTAATCTGATGCCTGAGTAGGTATTCTACATAGTTTTGTAATTAAACATATTAAATAACAATTATTCATCATTGATCTGTACTCCTACATATCTTTGTATATTATGTAGGTATATGTAATACGTTTTTGACATGGGATAATAATTATCTACCCAATGAATACCGAAATTTTTTTTATTAATTATGTAATAGTTTATAAATGCCTGCATTTTCAAAATTATAATTTTTGTCAAATGTTTTAAAAAAATATTTTTTATTAAATCAAATCAATTTTGATAAAAATAATTTAAAAATGTCTTATATCTTCTAAGTTATTAACTGGGCCATAGTTAACGAATTACCCCATATAGGTTGGCATTAAGAAAAAATTTTAGATGTTTTTTTGTTGTATATTAGTCTTTGGAGTTACTTAAACCCTTTATGACTATAAATTAAATGTTGTTTCAACTCTGAATTTTAAAATATTAATAATTTTTGCATGGCCTATATCATTTGGATTCATAGGGCGTTCTCACATTCGACCTTGTGATTGCACTTTGTATTATTTCAAAATTAACTATGTGTTATTTGCGATGGTCTTCCCAAAGAACGTGACGCATCAAGGAATCGAATTGTATGGTCAATTATAAACATATGGTATCTAAAACAAATAACAATTAAATGCAAAACCTCACAGCCGGGTCTGGCAAGTTCAAGCGCATTTGCATATGCATGGCATTAGTATACAACATTATTATTAATCCGCCGAGCATCCTGCGATGATGGCATCAATTTTGGCAGAAGCACATTAGTTCATATTTCCAAGCGAAACACAAGAGGCGTATTTTTGAAATTAAATCAAACTTTAAAAGTTTACAAAAATAGGCAAAAATTTACCCATTAAATTTACCCTAGGTAAATATTTTTTACACTAAATTATATAACAGATCTATGCTGCTCCTTTTTTTTTTATGCATCATAATGTCGTAAAAATATTGTATAACATGTTCCTTATTAATAATATACTAAATAGACCAAACTTGATAAACTCGAAACAAAACAAGTTTTCTAAGTACAGTAAAATACAATCTCGAAATAAATATCAAACATAAGTATCGAAAATAGATTTATCAAATTAAATGTTTGGGTATATACATTTTTTTTAAATTAATTTTAAAAATAAATACTCAACTTATATATTTATTTTATTATAATATTTGTTTTATTTATTTATTTATTTTATGTATTAATAACTGAATTGAATATTTATATATTTTATATTTGTATAATACTATTTTATTATTTTATTTAATGAAAATAACGATAATATTAGTGATGAATATTCGTTTTTCCTCTTTAAACGTTTTATAAAGAATACCTGTGTTAATGCAATTTAAAAATGGTGTTTAAAAAACACATAGTGATAAGTCAGAAGGTAGCATTGAGCGTGAACAACTTTCTTGTATAGATTATAGCATTGAGTATATATACTCAATAAATATAGTATTCACTTATAAGGTTATTTTGATTTGTTAATTAGACAATAACAAATTAATTTGATTTTTAAATTAATTTATATTCTTAATAAGAGCAATATTTGTTTTTGTCAATATGGCGCTTACACTACTAGTGTCGCAGATAAATATAACAATACAAATCACAATTACAGTAAAAATGATTTAAATACACTAAACACTTATTTCTAGTAAATAATTTTAATTAAAAATAAATAAATTTTAATAATAATACAAAAGTTAGTACGTTTTAAATTTTAAGTTTTACCATACTTAATACCATACTTATTTTGCCGTTTGAAAATTTAGATTGGGTTTATATTAAAATTTATATTTAACCTCCAATTAAATGATTTCCATAAATAATTAATGTTGTTTGTGTTTCAAAACAAAAATTCTAATAAAAAACGGTACATCTGAATTTATTTTTTTTTTCATTTAATTAAATTCAATTTTGCACACAAATAACCGTCATATTATAATACCAATTATGTTAAATACTGTTGTGAGGTGAATAATGACGTATATACAAGTATATTTTTTTTTGTTTCCTTTGACGTCTTGTGTTGCCTATTATGCTAATATATTTGACTAAACCGCACGAGCATAATACACACAGTACAAAACTGGTTTGGATAAAAATTATACAATGTTCAACGATAACACAAATCACAATCCATTACATCATTACATGTTGTGTAAAACCCATAGACTTAATATAGTGAGAGGTCTATGATAAAAACACTTAAATGGAGAAAATATAAGTTTAGAAATTCGTATTTAAAAAGATCATATTACTACTTAATTCCATTAATAGTTACAATAAAACTCATTGATATCTACAAGTTATAAAACTACAATGAATGAACCATTTGAAAATCTATAACAACTGCATACGTTTACATTTAATTACATGTTATTAATTCTCCGCTTACACCAGAGCAACAATACGTGTACAAGGTTATTCTTATTATTTTTATTAAATATATTTAAATTATACAATAAAAATTTCGTTAAAAAGTTTAAAAATATATAATATGTATTTTAAATGCGGCTATTTTAATTTTTTGTGATTGTATGTATTTAATTTATCATTCATGGGAAGGGCCCCCTCAAAGTAATTTGGCGTTATGGCTTACACGTGTAATTATATTATTATGTTTAAATTAGACTCTGGCTATTGTTAAATATTTAAACTTTATAAAGCTTAGTTAAATATTTAATATTAACGGTAACGTTTTAAATATACTAATTTAACCAATTGTAGTAAAAGTGTGGTTTAATATATTTTTAGAGGCAACAGCCGTTCTCTGTTCTTTTATCTACGCCAACTAAAGCAAGAGCATTGTTTTGGTATAGAGAATAGGGGAAATGTGTGAAACGGTTCCCGCAAATTTCTAATCCGGAAACAACCAACAATATCAGTGTCCGTTCAAACAACAATTAATTGTTTCCAAATGGCCTTGTTTTATAATTAAACAAATCTGTACATGCATTTTTTCTAGCTCAAATTACCATGGTAGATACAGGTTTTCATAAAAAAATAGTTTATTTAGGCCAAGTTCCAATTATGAAATTTATAAAAAAAAATTTACACTTAATTTTTTTTTTTTTGGGGGGGAGGCGGAGGGTAAGTAATGGCTATTTAGTTTTTTAATAAAATACAATTTTATATAACTGTAGTGAGACCAACAGTTGTTTATAAAAATGAGTATTTGACTTTAAATCGAAGCTATGGTAACAGCAAAAATGAGAATATTGAGATGAATGTGTGAAGTGATTAGGAATGAGTACACAAGAGTATGTTTGGGTGTTTTACCTATAGCAGGAAAAATATAATAGTAAAACGGGTAAGAAAGATTAGCTTAGAAAAGTTAAGACTTAAGAGATGTGTGTATACCGAAGAAGAAGTAAATGGATGTTATAAAATATAGACATGAAAATCTTGTGTGAAGTAATTAAAGAAATTGCGAAGAAATTAGAGGAGAGACAGTATTGACTGGCTCTTGGAAATTGAAATGCTGAAAAAGAATATGTTTGCATATTAGTCTATAATATTTATTAGTCAAAGCTAAAAAAAAATATTTTCTCATATTTTTAATTCCGATTTATGGTTAGAAATAACGTTTCCTCCTTTCTTTATTTTACAAGTCTCACAACCAGGAAACGCTTCCTCACGAACGCTTATACCGCATTAGTTCCACCTACCCTGACGACCCCGCATCACCGTTTTTTGATGAGCAAGGCCGGGAAATAGCTCCACTTGCTCGCCTCCACCTGAACAGGATCAATGTCATACCTAAATCGTGTTCGGACAAGATCATCACGGACCTGATCGATGAACTGGCCGTTTCCGAGAACACCCAAGACGCATCGAGACGTGAGCCCTTATCGATTTCTACAGGTTTGGTTTTAATTGAAAAATATCTATTTGTTATAGAGGAATGTGCCGTTTCTAAGTACTCTGAGTGGAGCGAATGCAACGTGTCATGCGGTAAAGGACTCAGGTCGAGGAGTCGGAAATACTTGAACGAGGCCGCTGCCAAGAAGGCTGGTTGTGACAGACAGTTGGTCTCCAAGGAAATGTGTTTGTCTTCAGTTCCTATTTGCCCGTAAGTCTAGAAACATAGTCAGTAGACGTTAATATCATAAGCACTCTACTAATGTAGAAATAGTAGGGCAGTTGGTATGCGATTTCTCATGACATTGACCAAGAGGGATAGAACTTGAACGGAAGGAGCTGAAATGAGAATATTGCGATGGACGTGTAGAGCGATTAGGACAGTAGGATAGAATTTGAAATGAGTGTACAAAAAGAAGCTTGGGAGATTTATGCCAATAGTAGACCGCAAAGGGTAGTTAGCAGACGAGAACGATTATTATTAAGTGATTTGGAGGAAAGTAAACTGTTATTTTTTTGTTGTTTCATTTTCTTTTAGTGGTGAAACGGAACAGGAAGACGACAGTTTGCTGTTGGACGACGCCAGGTGTAATACTACTGAGTGGACGCCCATGTCACAGTGTTCGGTGTCTTGCGGCATTGGATTTATGATGCGAACCAGACAATTTTTGGAATATTCTAGTTACAAGAAATGCCGTCACATAGGTCTGGTGATGAAGAAGAAATGCATGATGCCGGCCTGCACTAAAACCGTTGACGAGGTAAGAAGTAAGAAGACGGTCAAAATACAATAAAGGTAATTTTTTGTTTTTTATTGTATTCAACTTGCAGAGAACCGACACCGGTGAATGTCCGGTTACCGAATGGAGCACGTGGAGTCCGTGCAACGTGACCTGCGGGCAAGGCATAACGCTCAGGTCAAGACTGCTTTTGGTATCCGAAGAAAACTTCACTAAGTGCTACGAAAACGTCGTGTTAGAGGAGACTAAGGTGTGCAACGGGATCAGACCCACTTGTGCCATTACCAGCTCCCTGGCTAAGGGTAATAGTCAGAGAATTAAATTTTAAGTTTTAAACTACATTTTCGGACTTAGACTCGTTAAATGATAAGCTCCATAAACCGAACTTACTTATAGTATAGCTAGCACGTGGCCTGGGTATAATGTTATTTGACCAGAGCGTTACTTACTGAGTGGACGTTTCTCAGAACACAAATTAGTTTGATCGGGCATCTGCGTTTTACATGCCATCAAATGCTATCATTTAGGTCAGCTAGTGAATTTCAATCTTATTGTATTTGTTTTTGGGGGGTAATGTTGGCTATCGTTTTTTGTAAAAACACAAATAAATATGTGATGAAAAAAAATGAACAGAAAAAAATCTGTTCTATTCATATGAGTTTCGGACGTGACGCTACACAAAAAAAAAAATGATTAAAATGCAGAACTCCTTAAGTGTCACGTCCAAATAACCTGACCCGATTACATTAATTAATAATGCGATAATGTGTATTACCGACCGTATGCAGATATAACGATATTATGTTATTATCTCTTAAATTTTGAGTTCTTGAAAATAGTTTTGATGAAATCGCGGCACTAATCAATTCGTACAAAATCGTACTTATAATTATTGTTCAAGTCAAATAGTTCAGTATATAGTTTTCCATAATCGATGTATAAAGCTTCTAAACAGTACATCAAATAAATATAAGTTATTTATGTGTTGCTTAGTTTTTTTGAGGGTTTGATTCTCAGCCTTGTTTTACAATCATTGTTGTTCTGCGCTCGAATAAAATTATGTGACTTTGTTTCAGAAATTTGTACTCAAGACAAAAACGAGGGGGCTTGCAGTCTGAATACCATCCGGTATTACTACGACAAGGACTCCAGGACTTGCCGACCGTTTAAGTACGGCGGTTGTCGAGGAAACGAAAACAATTTTAAAAGCGCCAACGAATGCTACAACGTTTGTCGCAAAGTCACATAAATGCATTCAAAATATAACCTATGACTTTACGACGTTGTCGGTTATGAAATTGTTATAAGTATAAAAAATATTATGTTTTTTTTCTTTTCCTTTTTAAGTACCCAATATAAATACAAATTATCACTTTGTAAATGGTAATTAGTAATTAATTATTTTATTGCTACTTATTGACTCAACGGTAGTTCTGTTTAGGCACTAGGTCAATAATGTAATATTTTTGTGTTGTAAAATGCAAATTTTAATTAGAAATACTCAAAATAAGTTGTGTTTTCCCCTGCGAATAAACTTGTTATACTTGTATCACTTCAATATATATATAACCTACTAACCGATGGGTTGAATAAAAAAATGAGTTATTTTTACAAGAATACAATATATTGGCTCAAAATATTTCACAGCTCATTTAGTTGATGGATCGTTACAATGAACATATTATGATTTATTACATCGTTAACCCTTCACTGCATAATGTTCCATATTTGGTACAGTTCTTTAATTAGCGTTTTCCATAAAACCTAAACTAAAAAAAAAAATTATTTTTATATTTTTAAGTAGTATTAAGTACATTTATAGCATATGGTAAAACAAATTCATACAGTGAAGGGTTAAATTATATCCGAAATGAGTGATTTCCTTATAAGTTTGTAAAAACCAGAATTTTAAATGAATTTAATATGAGTATTGCGTGGGCCAAGAGCCAGCGGATATCAAATTATCTGAAAGCCAATTCCTTTCCTTAATACGGTATAACTCCAGAGGTTAATGTGGGAAATGTCTTTAAGTTTCCTATCATGATAGGCACGTTTCCGATTACCTACATGCGCCCTTTGCACACATTATATAATAACATATTGAATAATATTTAGCTGTAACATATACTTATATCAATTAAATTAACAGTATATTATATTTTTTTCCCAAAGAGAACTTTGATATTGGAATATTTGTTTAAATTTTTGTATAACTGTTGAAATTAAACTAATCACATCACACTCTAATAACCTAGGCTTAAACCAGACATGTTGATATATATTTAAGTTCTTAAATCCTTTAAAATGTATTAAATATATATTTGGGTTTTTGTTTTAAATACAAAGTAAAGTTGTGTCGCACAATTTAATTATTGGAGTTTGTACTACTGGATTACAATGTGCAACAAAACTGTATTAAGACAAAAGCCATTTTTAAGAATGTATTCGATGCATTCAAATTTGGCCTCAACTTTTTAAATTTAAATGGTAACGTAAATATTTAATTAACTTTTTTCATTAAGAATAAAACGCTAATTTTCACGAAAAATAATTATATATATATATAAATTTTTTTTTTATATATATATATAATTTTTTTTCGTGAAAATTAGCGTTTTATCCTTAATGAATCACCCTTTATATACATATTTCCACAGTGAATCCTAAGTGTGTTTTGAAATACCAATAAAACTGTGATTACAAATCGATTGTCGTTAAAATATCGTTAAAAGCCCGTTCGAGTTGATGAGTGAATCCCATTGCCGGGTATGAATAACACCTATCCCATCCGATAGCACTTAAACTATGTACCATAGAGCCTTGAGCTACAATGTAATCGGTCCATTTAAGCAACTATCAAACATACTGGTAAAAATTTAAAAAAAAATTAGAATACCTACTCGGTTTTGCACAGCGTTATGTTGAAATAATAGATTATTATTTATCCACTAATAAACGGAAAGGGTACCAGTACACTTGTATCATTTATTTTGGTTTGCACAAAATGTTTTTTTTAATTTTTATTTTACAAATATATTTTTTTTTTAATGTTTTAATATATTTTATTTTATTATTTAAGTATTTTCCTAATAATAATAACCCTTTTAAGAAACGAATTGAATTCAATTATTTTAACGATCAGTAATTGATTTTATCAAATTTGTAAAACGTACATTCCGGTTTTTCTTAAACATAACAAAATGCCATTTGGTCGCTTTTATTTTCGCACAATTCATAATACCTGTCTAAGTCTTGCGGGCTTAGACCCTTTAAAAAAAATCGTTAACCGTAAAGATTTAAAATCTGGTTTTGGCTTAAGAAAATGTATTTTATTATACTACAAATATAGTTTAAAAAATTATAATCGGTACTTTGTATCAAACAACTAAATTATATTATCGATAACAACAAAAATCAAAATAGAGTAATGTAGTGGTCTTTGAATTAGTTATAATATATTAAAACTAGTTATCTAACGATAAAAAACATAAAATTAGTAGTAAGAGTATAATTATTATTTTCAAATATGATATTTTTATTGTTGATACTTTGCCAACTATACATTTTTATCTTCTTCCTGGATACAGCTGCCAAATTTTGAATAATAATTAAAAACTGACAACAATTAATAAAAAAAAAAAAATAGTGTTTTGATGATGAAGTTAAGTAATGTACCCTTGAATGTCGATCATAGTAGATATAAATAATTTACATTCATTGACAAAATATACCAAAAGTTTTCAACGTTAATTTAACCATGAAAGAAGTTACAAAATATCACCCCAGCCACTAAATTAGTTGAGTATTATGATTATTATGATAAAACAAAACTGTAATCCAGTCAAGTCATAGGCTTTTTCTCAACTCGTTAAATTAATTAGTTATTTTCTTCCTTAATATACCATATTATTAAGCAATCTACAAAATGTGTTAGGATTTTTTACATTTCTATCACAACATATTTTTGGCTGTACGTTAAATTTACACTTTTGGTTTTTGTTCACCCTATTTTTATTTCGGACAATTGTTACTGTGATCTGATGTTAATAAACGGTCAATTAAAATGTACTTTAAAATGCATTTGAATTCTCAAATCGTAGGTTGCTTTCTATTTGTTGTGTACAAAAAAAAAAATAATGATGAGCTACATTATTTATTCAAAACCGAGTCACCCAAAAATTCGGAAAATCGTCCAAGAACTCAAAACTCGAAATTGTTTTGGCAAATTAAAAAAAGAGTAGTCAAATCAGCTCGAAATAAACATCTGATACCCGTTTTACCTATTACCAAGGTGACAGCCAACAGGTTGTCTTGTCCATTTTTACTATTATAGCCTATTATTATTATTATTATTATTATATAGCGTTAATTAATGCAATAACAGTTTAGTGGTTGTCACTTATATATTATTATATAACTATGCATGTCATGTTGTTTTTTTAGTACTCAATATAGTAGGTTAGACCATCGCGGATGACAGTGTATTGTAAATAGTTGAATAAATTATGTCCATTCATTATTGTTTCTATTGTCTGTGGTTAATTTATAATTTAATTTAGCGACGATAAGACGCTAGTGTTTTATTCAACTCCAATAAATTTGGTGAAACGATTACAATAACGACCGTTGTTGTACCTGTGTTGAAAAAAAATACAAGAATATCTGTATTGGCGATAATTGGTGTAGTTCTGCTCGCTTGAGGGAGGAGAGCGAAGGTTATACAAATAATTAACACTAATTTAATTGTTGGTCATAAATCATAATAGTGTTTTTCCTTATCCGAAACAAAATAAGAGTATAACAGAAAAACATCAACTAACAACAATTATTATTATGAAAACATTGACGCAGATAATATAAATAACCTAGGTACCGACATTAGACGACGCAGTTGCCAATGAAATACCTACATTCTGGAAACGAGCACAAGTCAATACATGTTTTTAATACAAGTTTGTTAGAAAAGAATAATACCTTGGTTAGAAGATTTACGGTCACGATATTTTTGTATATAAAAGGACACAAGTCATTTATTGTATATTTGTTATTTTACATCATTAATGTTATTAAAATTGAATATTTATAAGACGGCTTATAATAGATCCGGAATCTAGAATGACCAAAAAACATAAATTAACATATTGTCTAAAAGTACGTTGATTTATATAATACCCGTTTTTGCTCTAGGCATTACATATGTCGGAATACTCTGTTAACAGCTGTACAGGGTGTTTTATTAAGACATTTATTTTCCCCTATAATGACTGAAAATTTATAGATCTTATTTTTGGTGACGTATGTATTTATTTAACTTTTTAAAGTAAGAATAATTTGTTGAACATTTTGACTCGTCAATACCTAGTTGGGAGGTGAGGAGTGGAAGCCTTGCTCCCGTCCTAAATTTTAAACTTTAATAAGTAATTATTCAAAACTGAATTATTGACTAGTAAAAATTGTCATCAAACTATAATAAATTTAAAAATGTAATTAAATATATATACCTTACCATTTAAGTTTCAAAAATCGATTAAGCTCTGTAAAATACTAAACAAATGTAATATTTGGACATTTTATAATATTGTAAAATATCTGAACAAACATATTTTAACAAGAAAAACTACATAATTGCAGTTATTTTTTAAAACGCAGTAGGTATCCACCTAATAATTGTTCAGATTACTATATTGAGTTAGTAGGTAGAACATTGTGTACGAGGTAAATATACGTCACGAATTGGATGTACAGCCTTTAGCGTTGTATATTTATTAGTTCAACAAAACACTCTATTAAAACAATAAGGAAAAATTGTATTTATAATTAGTTTTAATGACAGTTGTTATTCGTGTTAATTGGATACGATTCAACAAAACCGAGATGTGCAGTAAAATCTATCCGACGCTTAAAATTGTCAAACCAAAAAAATTAGACCATTATAAATCCGGGTTGTCTTAGGTTGTTTGGGGGGGACTTAGATTTTGTCTGGACCTTGGACATCCGACTAAGTACTTATCATTAAGGCACAGACAGTATAATATAATATTATATTTGTGTAATAAAGTTAACGGTCGTATACAATCTCAACATCCACTTCGGATAAGTTTCTCTCGACCTTGAACAAACGAATTATTTTTCTCTGACGTTTTCTTAAAAGAAAATAGCTGCCTTGGTTCAGCGATCAAACTTGCAGTGTAATAAAACATGAACTGTTTTGATTTTTCATTTCAAACAACCTGTTTTGATCTACGCAATTTTAAGTGTTACATAACAATTATTTTTCCCTAGTACGAGTATTGTTCAGTTTGTATTTGTATCAGCTCAATTGTATACTTTATTATATTAAATATATAATTTAAACATTTTGCCTAAAAAAAAATATATAGAAAAAGTACTACCCCTTAAGGGTGAAAAGGTGATGTTTTTTTTATCTCTTTAGTGTTACATTTAAATAACTTCCCATTTAAATTTGAAAGCAATTCAAATATTTTTCAAAAAGTTATAGTGTGCCGTAATTCAAAGTTTGATTGACCAAAAAAATGTGTAGATTTTTTGTGCAATTTTAAAAGGGAGACAGTGATCTTTTTTCAAAATTGACCTTAAAAGTACCTTTTTGATAACTTTTTGATCTATATATTTTCTACATGATAAAATTGGTCTATTGGTTAAAAGTTATCTTGGAGCCAGACACAAACACATTATTGTAAAAAAAATATCTCCTATATATATACCTAAATAGATGGATTCTATCTCTCTCAATTATTTTTTTTTAATTAGTCTTTTTTCCCAAACTAAATGTTCAAGCCAGAATTTAATTGAAGCACTGATTTGTTTAGTTATTCATCAGAGAAAATATGATTAGCAAAATAGAGCTTTCGGTTATGATTTCAGCAGCTAAGATAAACTCGTAGGTTTTTCATAATGGTTATTATTAGTGCTGTCAAGGTATTAGTTGTAGTTTTAAGAGTACTCCAAGCCAACCAAGTTTAAGTTTTTAATTTAGAGTTTCAACTACGGTGTATACTTATTAATGCAGTAATGAGGATTCTTTATTGGCTGATTTTTTGTCAGGTTATCACAGGCATTGACCAGTAAAATTTCAATTTTTTTTCATTAAATTATTATTTATAAATCAAACTGTGAAGTATTATTATGTCAAGGTTATTCGTCAAATTTGATAACAAATTAGTCAATTAAGGTTTTAATATAGATTTTCAAAAGTAATTTCTACCTACTAAATTTGAATTCATTATAGTTTCCAGCATCAGAAATTGTATTTACCAAAATAATAATACTTTTTTTCTTAAATATTACTTTTATAAAACTTATTAAGAACCGCCCGCATTTTAACCCCTTTACTATTTAAATAACCAAAAATAAAAGTATCCTATAATTCAAAGTTCAACGTGATAAACCTGATCAGTGTTCAGTGGTTAAGTGTAGTTTATAAATTGAATATGTAAACATATACAATTCAATATAATAATAAATATTTGATACGCATTCATACGATATTAATCAATACTAAAATCGTTTTAACCTACACAAATATTTTTTAGTATTTGAAATATTCTAACTATACTGAAAATTAATGCTAAATATTTTCAACAACATTTGTTTTTTTATTACACTTGAAACATGACAGTTTCTGTATTTGTTCATAATTTTTTTTTACAATATTGTTCGGTAAATAACCATTTTTATCTTAAATCTCCAAATAGTAATGAAACAATAGAACAAAGTATACAAATACAATTTGATTGACGTCGATAATTGAATATATTTCAAAACACTTTTATCTATCTTATAGTTTAGTTATCTAGTTATGACATAGATAGTTATTACCTAGATATTTGTCAAGACCGGTCACTAGACACGTCATACGATAAAATATATTTTATAAATATTATTTTTTTTTATCATGTTAAAAATCGTGTCCGATCTCCTCTGGTCGTCCGACGTCGTCTCGAATCATATAGGTACACAAATTATTATTATTTATTAGGTAGGAAAAAAAGAAAATACCGAGCTTGAAAATATTAATGGAAATGGAGGTCTTGATCTCGTGTAATTATTATTCACAAAACTCGAGCAATGAGCGGGTATATAAGCCGTGGACAGCGTCCGTCAGTTCTGTGTGTTTATAAGTGTTCAGTGCGGTCAGCAACGATTTGCACGACACCGACTTTACCCGCGTGCACTTATTATTTTGGACACAAGTAGCACAGAAGCTTCCTGAAGTCCCAGACTTGGCCGGTCTTCGCCCAAGTACCTCGAGTACTCCAATTGATTTTTAAATATAAAAATATTTTATTTTTCCCACTAGTATTACGATCAAGTCTTACAACTCCAACCGGACGACACAGCGTATGATACAAGTAAATATTATATCTTATTATGTTATATATATTTTTTTACTATTTGCTGTTGTTGTTTAAATTCTAAGAAACTTAATCGTTTTAAATGTTACTCCACATTAGTTCATGTATTATAGTTTATAATGATGTGGAGGCACGTTCAACTCTATAGACCTCATCATTATTGGCTTTGGCCTTTCCGTTTATCTTTTGAATCAGATTGACAGCTATTTGTAACTATTTTTCCCAAAACTATATTATTATGTTTTTCAACTCTAACAATCATCATAAATTCATCCCTTAGCTAATTCACCGAATTAAAAATAATTGTGTAGGCCAGAATATACAGCGTAGAATACACCATCTCATACATTATAATCATATTTATTTTACTTTTAAAATAAATTTAAAAAGAGCTTTTAAGTCACTCAAAATTTTTTTAAACTGAATTTGGTCAAAAATATTTTAAAAATATTTTTACGGTATTTTTGAAATATTAATTTCACACTTAGCTGTTTACTCATTTAAATATAAATATATTTAATCAAAACCTTTTATTTTCTTAATTTTATAATCTAGTTTTAATTAAGTTTAAAGTTATGTTTAAATAGATTCAAAAGTTGTATGTATATTTTTTTAATTCCCCAATGAGTGTGTTGGATTGTTACCAAACTGTAAAAAAATATATTAATATATAATAGAAATAACTGCATTAGAGTTATTCAACTGATATTAAAAATCTCAAATAAGCAATAATAAGTTGATGTATATTAATAAACTAAATTGATTATAAAAGCCATAATAAACTGTTTTTTTAACTTTTGCAGCTGAAGACTGTCATTAACCTTAATTGTATAGAGTATGAACAACAGTTAATTTTAAAAATGAATTGTACTTAACGGTGGCTTTTAAAAACTTTGATCGTTTATTTTCAAGTCGTAACACTACACACAACAATAGAAAACTAAACAAACAAACACATGTTTATTATATTGGATTAAAAATATTTTGGAAATTATTACAGTGATCACTGATCAGTATAATTAAATTGTGTGAAAATTTTTGTATCAACAAAATATAGAATTATTGTAGTTATTCGAACGGTATACAGCCGTTCGCTATAGCTAAGTTTAAATGTTAAGTATAGTTTTACAATACTAAAAATAATAGCCTAATATGTACTTTAATGTTAAACTAAAATTATGAGAACGGCCATAAAAGAGTGATTAAAAATAGAGAGAAGATTAATGGTCAAGAGCCATCTGTCTCATGGCATTTGTAGAGAATCCACATTAGTAGTAAGCTCGTGTGTTGTAATAATCACAGTTTAATTGTTTTGTTGTGTACAGTAATTATAATGTAATATTTTCAACTATTCTCAGTATCTGTTTTGGCGGGGTTCTTTACAAGAGCGCACACAGATTTATAATTTCGAATAAACAGAAATAAAACGACCATCACGGTCCATTTTAATATTACCACCGGGCTCGTTGAGGTGTTTCTCTAGTCCGACAAAACTATCAAGACTCAAGAAAATAAATGACGGACAAAAATCTAATAAGCAATAATAATATTGAACAAAAAATTACTACTATAGCGGAAAAATTACAAAAAAAAAAGAATTTCAAATAATTAGCATATAACGTTTTATGATGAATTAAAAAAAAATGGCAATGTGTACAAAAAGTTTAATGAATCACAAAAATAAAAGGTTTAATTTAAAAAAAAAAGGATTCATTTGATTAGTTTAGTGTATACAATGGTTTTGTCTTGACTGTAATTTTTTGTTTTTTTTTAATTAATAATAATAATGTCGTGTGGACTTATTGACCGGGATTATAGCTAACTTGGTCCTCACCGGTCGGCCTATTGGTGTGGTTTGCCGCTAAAAACCCGGATGGTCACCCATCCGGGATCAAGCGGTACCGGTCACAGCTTAACCTCAGGCGCCTTGCGGCAGCTGCGGTATTCACTGCGCCACACCGTACCCGCTTTTTTTAATTAATAATTGTATTCCAATCGGTATACTATGTATTAATCTAGTTTGTTAAATTTAAAGAAAAATGCTACTGATTTAATAAAACCAATAAGAAATATATAAATTGTCATATACAATACTAAATTTATAGGTCGCGGGTCACTCGAGGCCGGTTAAATTGTATGTTAATAGCGCGTTTATCAATGCTCATTTCATTTATATTAATGAGCAGAACTGAAGAAGAACAATAGATGGTGCTCATGAATTTAATTATGTAAATAATAACTTGAAAAAATTATTTACCATTCATTTTAAACAGTTGGTTGAAAACAAAATTACTATTCACTTTGTTTTAATTAATTATTTATGAATTATGATGAATTATAGTCGTTCGATCCCGAATTGATCCTTAGATTGTTATTACTGATTTTTTTTACCTCAGATCCAAGGTATACAATTTTTTCACTTTTAAATTTTTCTTTATTTATATTTAAGTTTTTATGTACTTTACAATTTTTACTTCTATTTTATACATGTGATGATATTTCTTTCTTTACAGGATGACGACCTCCGTGCAGGGTGTTAATCCCATTTTTATGATTTCGGCATTCAACTTGTTCTTCTATCTACTTACCCCAGCTCTAGTACTATGGTACATATACTTCCGCATGTCCCGCAAACAGCTGTACGAGCTGGCCAGCAAGATCGAAGGATCCGACGGATTGCCTTTCCTGGGCAACGCTATCGACTTCATGCAAGATCCTCACAGTGAGAACTAAATTTAATAAATTTCAACATAAAAAATATAAATTTTTTTTAGGCTCATCCCCTGCCTCTCATTGAAAAACTATTAAAAAATGTTTCACACCTTCCCCGCGCTTCCTGGCCCGTCTCTTCCATATTTTATCGTTTACGTTCGTTTTTTAGACATTTTCATAAAAATGTACGAGAGGAGTTTTGAGTTCAAGATGAACGCACCGCTCAAAATGTGGATTGGACCTAGACTTTTGGTGTTCTTGACCGACCCCAGAGATGTGGAGGTGATCCTCAGCAGCAACGTGTACATAGATAAATCGCCAGAATACCGTCTCTTCGAACCGTGGTTAGGAAATGGACTTTTGATCAGCACAGGTTAGCATATATATTATATATTAGCATAATAAACATTTAGAGAACGAGTGGCCGAGACAGTAGGGCATAAATCTAAATTCGAAAAAAAGTTCAATTTACTTAAACAAACATAGTACAGCCTGTCAAAATTGGAGAACTAATACTAAATTTCCACAGGTGACAAATGGAGAGCACACAGGAAACTGATCGCACCCACTTTCCACTTGAACGTTTTGAAGTCTTTCGTCACCCTGTTCAACGTCAATAGTCGGGAAACCGTTAACAAACTTAAGAAATTAGGCAAAACCGAATTCGATGTACACGACTACATGAGCGAGTGCACTGTAGAAATCCTATTGGGTGAGCCGATGCTTTTGAAAACAGAAAACAAAATAGACAACCGTTTTTCATTTTTTAACTGTTTTGTAATATTTCCGCATAGAAACCGCCATGGGAGTAAGCAAAAAAACTCAAAAGCAGAGTGGTTTTGAATACGCCGCCGCCGTAATGAAGTAAGTGAACAAATTTCTCTGAAATCACACTCCAATATCTACTATCTAATAAGTATCAAAGATCATAAGAATAATGCGTTTATTTTGTTTATAGGATGTGCGACATCCTGCACATGCGTCACACGCACTTGTGGTTGAAACCCGACTTCATTTTCAACTTCACCAAGTACGCCAAACAACAAGTCGGTCTTCTGGACCTTATTCACAGTCTTACCAACAACGTTAGTGTCATTTGTCAGTGCCTTGACACTGACCCATGTGTGTGCAACGGTGTTATTAGCGTGCCAAACATACGCTCAACACCGTCGAACCACCTATACGACATCATCCGGTTGAATAAAAATGGCTTTTGTTGAATTTGTAGGTGTTGGCCAAGAAGAAAGAAGAATACTTGAAGAAAAAGTCTACGCTCAAAGAGATCCCAGACATACCGGCCGCTACCCAGCAACCAGAAGAGAACAAATCCACCACAGAAGTAGAAGAAGTGCCGTACGGCAACTCTTTCGGGCAATCGGCCGGGCTCAAAGATGACTTGGACGTTGAAGATGACGGCATCGGTAACTATTGACACGCTTAGCCTATTATCATAACCTTATAAGTTAATTTTGAGTATTTCGAAACGTTAGGCGAGAAGAAAAGGGTGGCTTTCTTGGACCTTTTAATTGAATGCGCAGAAAACGGCGTTGTTCTTTCCGACGAGGAAGTCCGCGAACAAGTCGACACCATCATGTTCGAGGTGAAAACTCAAAATTCTACTTCATACCTATTAGAACCCATTTTGAACTTTTGTGAAATTGTTTTAACAGGGTCACGACACGACTGCAGCTGGCAGCAGCTTCTTCTTGTGCTTGATGGGCGTCCACAAGGACGTACAGGTAAAACTCTTAATAGACAAATGCTCAATCGTTAAGCCTCAAACTAATTTAACCAGTACAATAAATAGACTATTAGGAACCTATCTATCGGGGGCTCTATTATGCATAGAAATTACAAAGGACTATTGAGTTGACCTTAAGCATAATTGTGTCCCCACTACTGTGACACTTTTGACAGCCTAAAATCGTTTTCTATTGTAACCGTAATCGACTTGCCTAGGAAAAAGTCGTTGAGGAGTTGTACTCGATTTTCGGCGATTCCGACAGAACCGTGACGTTCCAAGACACTCTGCAAATGAAATACCTAGAAAGGTGCATCATGGAGACTCTCCGCATGTACCCACCTGTACCGATCATCTCACGTCAGCTCAATGAAAATGTTAAGCTCGGTAAGTACACCAAAGGCGGTCGCCATCGAGTTAGTTTTACCGCTAACGGTTTTTTTTTTTTTTGAACAGCGTCCAAAGATATTGTTTTGCCCGCCGGCGCATCCATTATCATTGCTACGGTCAAAATGCACCGCAACCCCGAAGTCTACCCCAACCCGGATGAGTTCAACCCAGACAACTTCTTGCCCGAGAAGTCTGCCAGCCGTCATTACTACGCCTACGTACCGTTCAGCGCCGGACCCAGGAGCTGTGTCGGTGAGTCCAACATTAAACCCGAAAGCGCTTTTAGATTTTTGTCACCATAGCCAAGCCTAGCATATCTTAACGTACCCAGGGAGAAGGGAGAAATATAAGTGCCAACTGCATCCTACTTGACCTTAAGCCATATAGTTAAGCAACGAGACCTTAGCGCTCTCATACTTAAACAATCCTGAAACAAATCAGTGGATCTCTAGCCACAAACAGTGATCAGAGTAGTCGGTAGGGCTAAATCCTTTAAGATGTTTAATTTCCTTAAAAAATCTCTTTTTAAGAATCTATTCAAATATTAAATAAGGTTACGATTCACGCCTATCCATGATTTTCAACTATGTCTTGGACTTCTCCTTTGTTCCTCGACTACCTCCCCCTTAGCAATTACTCTTTAAGCTTTTGGCTCTACTGTCAATAAGTACTCACTTGATTATTGAATTACCATTGTCAATTCAGCAAAGTTAAATTTGTTCTGCCTATTTCTTGGCCTATCTCTACCGCATGAACTGGTCCATGGAGACCTTTGTTAGTCTAGATTACAAAGCCCTACTTTTCGAATCCCCTTGCTGGTCACGGTGCTGCAGCTATTCCTTAATTCATATGAAATTTGTTTACATAACTGTGTCCATAACATGGTGTCAAAGCGATATAATAAAGTGGCATGTCAACAACTCTTCGCATCAGCTTTGGTACACCGGCTTGTTCTATGTATTAAAGGCTTTCCGTCTTTGGACTTTCTTATTGAACATTATCAATCAAAAATATTATTTTCTTTAGTCCCACATAATTATTGTAGTTGAATATTGATTGTTGACACCGCAGGTCAATTAGACGTCGGAATAGGTTTTATAAATTAATTCAGTATCGCATAACCTTTGCGACGAACATCCCAACCGTCTATTGTGTTTTATGCAAAACGATAAATTATTATTGTGTTCATAAACCGTCGTCAACTTTTTTTGAATATCTAATGAACGGTCTCGCGTTTACAGGTCGCAAGTACGCCATGCTGAAGTTGAAAATTATTTTGTCCACCATCCTACGGAACTTCAAAGTTCATAGCACCATACCCCAGAAGGACTGGAAGCTCCAGGCCGATATCATATTGAAGAGGACGGACGGGTTCAAAGTCACATTGGAACCAAGAAAGTCATTAGCTAAGACAGCCTAAGTTAATATAATGCTATACTTATTTTCTCAACGCGTATTATTCTAATGGAGTGGATGATTCGTATTTATAATCGATTTTTGTCAATAATACTATAAATTTAACTACCTAACCGTTTTTACTTAGTTTATAAACTAACCATCGATTAATTAGACACTTAATTACTTGGACACATGAAACAATTTTATAGCTAGAATATTATACATTTTTTATGTAGTGTAATTTTTTGACACCTGTAAAATAATTGAATTGTAGACTATTATAATTTAAGGAATTTGGAAATTATTATAGTTAGACACGAATAAAAGAACAAACAAAAAAACATTATTTCATTAATATCTACCGTTGTAAATTTGTCATTATTTCATAATGTATTCAAAAGACATCCTTGGTACTAATTTCAATAAGCTTATTGGTGGATTGGGTTGGATCAAGAGCTGATAGGATAATTTAAAAAAGATCTGTAATCTGTTGTTAAATGTATAACATGAGTTAAAAAATTAAAGTATAAAATTTTTTTTATCTGATAATAATTTCATCACAAAATAAAAACTTTGTTTTGAAACATGAACTAAAGTACATTTATTAGGATTTTGTTTGTTGAATCCGAATAGTAATTTTTCGCACGTCTGGCTTTATTGAAAATCACTTATATTATAAACATCTCGGTTCAATAATCATAATAAATTCTTTACTTTAGCTTAAAAAAAAGAGGAATACTTTCATGTATAAATACATTTCTGAAAAAATGTACAATACCTTCAACGTATTGAAAATATCGTTAGACCGCGTTTTCCACGTTACCAGAAATTGACAAAATACTAGTACAAAAAAGGGTTTTTCTTAAAACTAACTTAAATCAATTGTTAAGTTGAAAATGAATTTTGCTTTAGAAGAAATGTATTAGTTATTACATACAACGCCGAAAACATAATTTGTATCTTAACATATTGTTAAAACAATTTTTAAAACAATGTACACATTAACGCAAACAGTTTGACCCTCGTTTTGTTATATGTTTGGCGGTTTGGCCTATATTTGTTTTTACTTGCTACTACACTATACCTCCTTAGTGTCATGATTTAATTTTGGTTGTTGATTGTCAAAAGTGTTATATTTTTTTAATTTTAAAATAGTTTTTATAGAGATTTTAACCATTTAAAATAAAATAAATTTGAATTACTAACCAAAGGGGAGAGTACCGCCTATACTTGTATTTCAAAATAACTCCAAAATTATTTACTTACTCAAAATTGATATTCATCATTCGCTAATTTCAAAATTAATGTTGCTAAGCACATCCAAGTTCCCATCAAATTGGGCTAATAATAATTTTACAAAATTTGTTCGTGTATCTACTGAATGAACGCTTTCGTCATCATCAGTGTAAAAAATAATCTAATATATTTATAAATTGTATTTTTTTCCCAGTGTTCGTGCGAAACAGCGGTCGCTTCTGTTCGATGGCACGGATATACAATCATATTACTAATATTATTATTATTATTATTATTTTATATTTTGGCGACCGTGTCATTGTGTACTTATTATACATGCGCAGGATTAGCCTATTCATCAATTACCGTATACCGGCGCGGCCACGTCGAGGATTTTTTTTAACGAAACGCTGGCAACCGGGCAGGGATCCCCCCTTTTGTTTTATACACAGATAAACCACGTAGGATGGTGCCCTATCCTGTTGGCAAATTGTTATATTAGTCACGCGAATGACTTCCATTTAGCTTGTGTATTTGTGTGTGGTACTTTTTACTTGGCCCTGTCGACCGTATCGAGTTGAGGTAAGTGTCATTCTTCACATCCCGGCTACAGCGGCTATCCTGTAAGGCAAACACTACAACTGGAGTTGCCAGCTGTTGATCACTATGAGGGTCGACGGAGAAACCGTTAGGTAAGCGATAGAACAATCATAATATACTATTATTATTGTAAATAATAGTGGTAAGCGGTGTATGATTGTTTTATACAAACATTTTTAATAGTTGTAACAATTTAAAAAAATACGTCCGCCGAAAAATGGTATCGTTTAACAAAAAAAGCCAAATATTCTATTAACAAATACTATGTTATAGTGTATACATTAACAATATACCTTTACTAAACTATTAAAAAACTAGTACAATTGTTATTGTATTTATTTATTTTTAATATCGTTGTACTTGATTTTCATTAAAACCGGCTAGCCCCGTCAATTCTATTCATACAGTATAAAAACGTTAATTTTACATTACTATACGATTAGGTACACTACTCGTGTTAAACGGCTAACCTTAATATCATTATATTTATAACGATATAATAGCTGTAATAATACGATGACGACAAAAACAAAATAATAATACTTAAGGAAAGTTAGGTCAAGTATTATTCTGTCGTTCCTGGATGATTTGGTGTAAAGCTTAACATGTTCACTATGAGATTTGTACTTAATATTATATTTCAGTTAACGCTGACGTTATTTTTCGAATACATCATATTTTTACAAAAACTAGTTACTGTTATTAACCGAAAACAAAGCCATTATTATCATGAACCATACTTTAATAAATATAATATTTTATTCGGTAAAGGTAGGTACTAAAAACAAGCAGATACTATGCAAACTCGAGGTACCTATTTCGGATTAGGAATATTTTCTAAAAACATAATAATATAATTGTTTAGGTCTAATGTGCATTTTTCAAGTTCTTTTTTTAGAGCATTTTTAACCGCAAATTAATTACTTCAAGTATTTCAAATTATATTCCATAAATGTCTTGTTTTATTTATTTTTTTTTAATTTTAATAAAAACCTTACCTTAGGATATTTGACAATTGGCCTTTGGCTATTAATATGGTACAAGTTAAATGAATGAAGCATATTATAACAATAAGACAGCTGTGAATTGCAAATTATAAAATATGATACACAAGTGAATAAGAACCAGTTAGATGTTGTATAAACGCATCCGGAACATTTTGGCGCTTAAACATAAGGCGTGTCAACTGCCATTATTTTATAAAGTCTTGACATTGAAGAACTTAATTTCTCAATGCCTTTTCTATCTCAATTAGCATATTATTAAGGCTTAACAAAAAAAATACGCTGTTCTTTTTTTCTTTACATACAATATACAACTTGGTGGCGTTAAAAAATCTAACGTTAATATTAGTATTATGGACCGCGTGGTTTGGTATATCTAAAATCAGATTAAAAAGGTTATTAGACAGAATGAGTAATTTAATTTTGGAATGTCAAAAACATGGGGGTTTTTCTATAATTATGAACTCATAACTCATAATATGTATTTGATTTACTTATTCGTTCATAAATATACATATAACCAATTTATTTTTGTCCATTCCAATTTCAATGTAAAATGTCTGGGAACTGAAACGGACCATTTTTAATGAAAAAATACACAACAACCGTTTCTTTTAAGTAATATTTAACGAACTTTTAACCGTTTGATTTGAATTTAATGTGGTGGCTCGATTACGTTAAACAAAACAATAATAATAATTATAATACAAATTTGAAACAAGATTTTCAAGAGCCTATGTAAATATCGACATTAATAAAATCTAAAAAAAACAAAAAGGAAATTCAAGTTCTACAATTACGTGACGGTTCTTAAAGTGTTCACCAGACACCAATATTACGTGTTCTCAATAATAATAATAATAATATGGTTTGTTAGGTGCTTAAATATTTTAAGTGTCAATAAATTTTCTACTTGAGCATCAGTTTAATAGAATAGTACATTACTGATTACATTATTAGAAATAGTCAAAATTTCTGTAGATTAGCACTTGATTCTAAAACATTATTCTAGTTTTATGCACCATAGACTTGCTATTTGTTTGTCGGATATTTGTGTTTTCTAAACTGGCGAATACAACAGAAAAGTTGCCCAGTAGTCAGTACCCAGTCCATTCATATTATGTCTTACTGTGCTACTTTAATTATGAATTCATTGTTCTGATTCGAGTTAGGACTATGTTTTAATATTTTTTTTCAACACTTTTTATATGCCAATTATTGGATTTCAGCTGGACTAGCGATTTGTCCAACCGGCGACTAGGCAACGGTCGTTTGGCTACTTCTTTGCCGAACAACTGCTCGCCGTCAAACCTGTCGAATGAATGCCCAACCAACAAGCATGAGATGTCATTCAAGCCGAACTCTCCAGGATCCGAGTAAGCACGTGTTAATTTCTCTAACGGCAACTTTTCCTTGGTTAATTTAGCAAAAAAAAAAATCCATGAACTATAGATTAGGTATTAGACAGTATTGCCGTAGTTCAAGGGAAAAACTTATATTTCACTCTAAATCACTGGGTTGTGTTCAGTTCGGTGACATGTAAGTTGGAGTATATCAAATAGTAAGTCAAATTCCAGATACCTAATCAAAATGGATCTCACGTTGTTTTTACAATATATTTTTTTAATTTCAAAAACTTAAGTCACCCTGTATACAATTGTCGTTAACGTACTGCCCATCAACACTGAAAATTAATCAAATTGGAAGTCCAAGGCCTTGAGAGTTTCATGACGTGGGTGTGCGATGATTGATCAATTGCATCCCAGTTAGCCTTTTCAACAATTTAACAAATTATTATATGAACAGACAACTGATTGTATTAAACAATGAACTTTTAAAAATTATGTAAGATTAAGACCTGTTTGTATCCCATACACCACAAAAAAAAACATTTATATTTTTTCAAATGTTATAAAAATGTTTTATACTGCTTATAGCCAAAAAAACTTATAAAAAAAAATTCAGATTTACACAATATTTTTAAAACCCTAAAAAAATATTATGCTTATCATGTCTCCACAAAACCTCAACAAAATAGTTAGATGTTTCTTAATCGCTGTATGGGTATATATGTCAAGAATAAATTTAACTTTACTAATTGTTTGTTAACAAACATATTTGTTAACAATTTTTTTTTTCGTAGGATCCCAACGGCGGTACCGGATTCGGTAGTACATAGTATGTCCATACTAAAAATACCTGCTCCAATGAAAAGAGGGTCGACCATTGAAGATCTACACAAACACTGGAGAGAAATGGGATCGTACGTATACTGCTTGTATATTATTTAGTATATAAAGTATGCAGGTAGCCTGTTAGTTCTCCCAAGCTTTGTTTTAATTTTTTAAACACAAAACTAACGAATATATCCGTAACAGTATAAACAAATCGAAGTTTCCACTGAGTTCCCAAGACCGCCTTAGACCTTCCCAGACCGTCATGAAGAACCAACGGAATTTTTTTTCAGTTAGGTAGTAATTGTGTGCCATTGAATAAAGATCATATCGAGAAAAAAGTTATAACATTTTTAATTTTTTTTAATAACGAGAAAAAATCATGTTGAGTTGACGCATGATTTAGGTACGGGAAGCCATCGGATGGGATGCATTGTAAGTGGTTGCAATAAACATATGTCATACATTTGATTGTAATTACATTGATTTTACTGTTAACCTTTAAGAAGTTAAACCATCAACACGACTTTTTCTCTTGATTCAAAAAATAATATGATTCTTTCCATATGGCCGTAATTAATCGATAAGACACGGTTACTATTTTCGTTAGTTTTGAAATAAAAAAATAAAAATTCTCAAGTATGGTACAGACACTATAAAGTTAACATTTTAAATGATTTATCTGAAGCTTGGCTGATCATTACACCTTGCATAAAAGTTTTAGTTGGAAATATGTTTTATTATTAATTGATCTGAACATTTAATATGTAATGCTAGCAAAAAAAATTGTTATCATCAGTCACAGGTAAAATTTACTTGATCTGATTATTTCATCAACAATTCCAATTAAACAAGATTTTACGTTAATACGTTTCTCTAATGGTTAAGGTACACTATCTGTTTTCATTTGAATACTGTTGTTGCTACATATTAAGTTTACAAATACCGCTATAACTTATGTAACCAAAACTGTTATTATTATTCCTACTTAAGTTCACGGTTTTTTTTCTATGATTGGTAAGCATTCGGTCCCACGTCTATAGTTTTAGTATTTTTGTTTTTTGACAAGTATACTGTTTAATATCATAGTTAAACACTAATGGTAGCCTGAAATATACGCGTTGATTCGAGAAAGGAATTTGGCGAATTCCCTTGAAATTACTTAGTTCTCATAGTTTCTCTTAAACTTTAAAATTATAAATAAAAAAACGTTAAATGTCTTTACTATTTTTGACCTTTCTCTTATATTATAATTTAAGGAAACTGAATATTGAACAACAGGTGGGGGACCATAGTTGTACTTAGTATACAATTATTCAGAAATAATATAGGAATTCATTTACAAATTTTAAATGTTTATCCACTAGTTATTTTTTAAAATTTAATCTATAATACACTACTAATTCTTATAGATCTTACTTAATTCACGTATTGTTAGTTAAATAAGTAGGCACACAGTACATATTTACATACATAGTTAAATTAATTTTATATACTATATAACATTAATTGCAAAAGCTGAGGGTATTTTCGTTTATTAGCTATTTCCCTAAATTTTTCTGTGCATCTGAAAAGGCGCCCAATCAAATTAAATATTCGACTTAATACTGCACTCGCTTAAAAAATATTATGCTCACTAAAAACATAATATTATACAAAAAATATTTATAATATATATAGTATGTAAAATACCTATAATATCTGTTATAAAATTATCTCTTTTACGGTGTATGAAAAATTAGATAATTGTTTTAATCATCATGAAGTTCAGAGTATTTTATAACTTTTGGCTACTATTCTTGACTAAATTACTACCATTTTTTTTTTTAATGCAAATATATAGACAAGCCCTGGCTACGACCCTGTCTGCTTTATACGGCAAACTACTGGTGGTCATGGGCATTGCTTTTCCCATGTCCGAAGTGATATCCACGCACATCCCTCATTCTTTCTACGAGGTTAAGTATTGCTTCGATACTTCCCTCCGGTAAATTTGTTACTAATATTGCATTTTATCGTCACACAGGGCTACTATTTGTACTTGTATTTCGGTAGTATGGCTTTTCTGTTTTACATGTACGGGATGCTCCTGAAGGGAAAACCCACGATGACGCCGGTCAATGATGACTACGGTAAGCGGTCAAATTTGCGGTTTATGAATTTACCTTTCACACAATTGAATGCGTTCCATTTTTCTGTCCGCAGACAATTCTGACAGTGAAATGTCATCGGATAGTTCAGGAAACGGCCAAAGCGATTCCGAGTACTACCGGGAAAATGCCAACGGAATCGTCAACCACACCAAGTCCACGAGCGTCGACATGAACCCTTGGGAACACCATCATCACCGCAGGCATTCAAGCCACTTGATTCTGCCGTCCACCTTTCAGCATTACGGCAGTTTCTATCTCAGAATGGGCGCTGTCGGTGTGTACTCAAATTGTAATTTTCAATTATCCCTCCAATAGAATTTCCCTGTCGCTGAAATATTTACATGGTTTATCCTTGAGGATATGCTTAGGGATGCCACCTGATACCGGTGCTATTAGGATATAACCATTTAATCTAAGTCTTCACGTTTTGTTTACCGTTTTACTGTACTGTTATTAATGTGAATTTTTTCCCAAGCTTTTGGCATAGGAAGCATGATTTATTCCGGATTGGAATTTGGTCAGTACTTCGAGCTGGAACCCGCGACCAAATGCCATAATGTCCTACTGGTGTTGACGCCTGCCATGCGAATGGCATTCATATTCATACAAATGTATTTCATATTTTTGAACGATGAGGTAATATAAAGAATATCAGCTATTGTTTGAGAAAATTGCTTGGCCCGTCAAAATAATTTGGCTGTCACAAATTATAATTTTGAGAACGCTGTCATAGATTAGACAAGGTTATATGGATCATTTAAAAAAATCGAATTTAAAATAATCCGTATTGCCTATACTATACTTATAAGAAATTGATGAAACGCATCAAAATACTTTAATTTGACTAATTCGTTCACCAATGTATTGAATGACTTTTTTGATATTTAAGCAACAAATGAGAGTTACGCGACATCGGATATTAGCCAAATTTGGATTGATGCATATGATTGGCACAAACTTGTCGGTGTGGCTAAACGTGCTCGTCCAGGAAACCAAGCACGAAATCCTTACGTTTTACAATCCCGAAGACAATTCAATTGGAGTGGACAAACAACCTAATCATTTTTCTAGTGAGTTTAAAAGGATTTATCTGTTTCAGATGTTTTGTAATGTTATCATTAAGAGGGCGTCGCACCGGTGATTTTCAGTGGTAAAAACATGTTTAAGTAGACTGAAAATTACTCGCTTAATTTTGGTTTTAGAGTAAAAGCACCCAATATAGAATTAAAAGAGAACAATATTCCAGAGGGCAATACGGTGCGTTTTTTTTAAAAATTCATTTTTTGAAAGTTACAGTCATTTAAAAATGTTAAAATAGTCGTTATTTCTAAACTATGTATTGAGCGTTATACTTAGAATAACGAAAAAAACGCACCGTCTTTCCCTCCGAAATATTGTTCTCTTTTAATTTTATAATGGGTGCTTTTACTCTAAATCCAAAATTAAGCGAGTTATTTTCAGTCTGCTTAAACAAGTAGAGCTGAAAAAATATTTTTAAATCACTTTCAAGGATGCTGTGATAGTCCAAAAAATAAATTAACTACCAAAATAGAGTCCTAGTTATTGAACTAAAAACTACACATCGCAGTTTAACCTTTAAATTAAGATTTTGTGAAAAATTGCCTGTACTTTTCTACTTAAAAATGGGCGGTGCAACGCCCTCTTAAATCATACTATCTCTTGAAAATGAGTTCTTTCTCGAATTTTAATAAGATATTTTAAATATGATTCTGAGTGTCAGTTGAAACTACATACTAAGTTAATACAGAAGTAGTACTCTAGTAGAGACTTCTCTACTTTGCTATCATATGGTCCCATCATATAACCCACCAATTTCTCTGCCTTTAAAGCTTACCATAGGGCTTGTTATGAAGTGCAATCAAATGCTTTACAAACTTGTAATATCTCTTTTATCATTGCTCTCTACGTATGATACACTTTTCCCCCTTCTCAATCATTCTTTGTTTTCTGAACTCTCACGTTTTTTGCTACTTTGCCAAGTTTAAACTACGACAACAATAAGGTTCTAAATCGTATCATAATAATTTTTTTTAGTATTCAAAAAATGGACTACTACCACAACACAAGCACCGATTACGTCCACGTTGGGGGCCCGGGTAGCACGAAGCCTGGACAAGGGTCCACATCACATATACGAGTGCCGCAGGACCAACATCATCGGATCGCTGGTGCAGAATGCCAGCCCATTCTTGTTCCCTTGCACCATCGAGTACAGCCTAATTTGTGCGGCCATACTGTACGTCATGTGGAAAAACATCAACCGAGTTCACGCCGACATCATCTACCGGCAACGGAAGGCGGAACGTTGCGAGGACCTGGCCCAGATGACACAATATCGCAAATCGCCACACTACTATTCGGTGGACTGCGCACAGGCACACAAAGGTCTTTTTGTCGGCATCCTGTTCCTGGTGCTCACCATTATATCGCTCATACTGTTTTTTGTGCTAATTTCCCGACCGGAGCTCATCACGTTTGCGGTCAAAGAGGTCAACATATGCGAGCTGTCCTTGTACGGCATGACCACACTTGCCACTATCGTTGGAATGCTACAGGTAAAATCCGAATCGATCCTTTGCAAATATCAATTAGGATCCATACGGCCCGGTAATGGGTATCTGTGAATTGGAAACGATCCTGTCCTATTTTTTCAAAAATTTTTTGACGGAATTTAAGGAAAGTATCAGAAAAGGAAAGGTTGATAGAAGCATGACAGCGTATAATGTACATAGAATACGACTTCGAAGGAAATGGACAAGATCAGAAAATAAGGTATATTTTGAAAAAGGGCGACAAGGTAGTAGGGAAGGTTAACAGGTTTGGGTATTTAACATCTGCAGTGCAAAATAATGGTGGCTTTGTAGATGAGAAAGAATATGAGTTTGTTGGCAATGGGCATGTTATGGGAGAGTTAAGAGAGAGGCAGTAAGGACGGCAATGAAGTTGAATGTAAGAGGAAAGGTGTAGGTAGAAGATTAAACAAAAGATAATTGGACGTAGTAATTGGGAATGGTATGAGAACATGAGTAAATGCAAACGTGGAAGCCGAGGGCTAAGGTAGCCTACTCCATATAGGTAAAAGTGACAAGGGAATAGAAGATTGTTATAAGAATTAAATTAACTTTTCAAAAGGTACTAAAGAAACGATTGTAATGTAGGTCCGACAGTTGAAGTTCGACGGTTTGCGCAACTTGGAACTGGACAACATCCTTTTGGTGGGAGCTCAGACGGGCTCGTTTATCTACAGCACCTTCACCATTATCAGCGGCCATTTCACCAAAGAGCACAACACTATCCTGGTGCTGATCACGGCCTCGGCGTCGCTCGTGCAGACCTTCTGCCAGACGGTGTTCATATTGGACGCCTCCAGGCGGTCTTGCGTCACGCCCGACCAGATCCGCAAGAAACCCGGCCGGGAGATCGTCACGTTCCTGTTAGTCAGCAACTTAGCCATGTGGGCCATCAACACTTTGGAGAAGTCCCGAGCTGATTCTCATCCCATTCAACTGCACTTCTACGGCTTGTGGGCTTGGACCATCATCACGCACGTTTCCATGCCGCTGGCCATATTCTACAGGTTCCACTCGACCGTGTGCTTGTGCGAAATATGGAAAAGGGCTTACAAAATAAAACCGCCTTACATGTAGTGTAATTATTAAACCATAACCCCCTATATAGCTCCGGCCTATTCTGAAGCTCAACCAACAAATGTTTCGGGTGACCCTAAACGAAATAATACAGTTTGTGTTTGTACACTATTAGTTGTTATGTCTAATTATCTGTACCAGCACTATCGACAATAATGTCTGCTTTAAAACGTTGTATGTTTATCGTTAAGACATTTTATAATTCAACTTATATTGGAATGCATATGCTGTACACATCCACAGCACAACAAGTGTTTTAATTTTCTAAACTTAAAAAATATGTTGGATCAGTAAGAGTTTAAATGTTGGAACCAATCTAGAGTAGCACGACCCAGGTCAAACATAAATGTTGACACTTGGACCTATGTCCATGTGGTTATAACTACAAATATTGAAATCCTTGTATGATCTTAAAAATCAAATTCGGTAGTTTTTTTGAAACACAATGATACATTTTTATAAATAGGCTCTTATTTAAACCTCGGTTTAACATAACTCGTTGACTCTTAAAGACGTCCATTATATGAATAAAAGTTTAGTTAACATAAAAATATGTTTCACGACTAACTAGTATGTGCCTAAAGCGAAGTATTCCCTGTCCAAGAGAAGAAGAAAATAGTTTTTTACATTGTATTTTCACATAAGTACTATTTAATAGTCGACAACAATCAAGTACAAATAATTATTATATTATTTTGTTGATATAATAACGATAAACAAGTATTTTATAAATTAGTATACTTTACTGTAAAATTTTATTGTACTGTTATAAATAATAAGTAATTAATGTTATAGATAAAAATATATAAGGTCCTACGATGTAACTAATAATACAACAACACGTGGTCTATATGTGTGTATAATATTAAATAGCTATGATAATACTATAAAAAGCTTTAATTTAAAAAAAATTATTATTCAAATAAAACATATATAAATACAATTATTAATAAAAATAAAAATACTGTAAACGTTTTTATCTACAATACTTCATTTTACTAATTAATCATAATAAAACATTACGCTGAATTACAACCTTGGATTTTTTCGAAAAACACAAGAATTACATGAATTATAATATTAATCAATTATACCCTACAAACAATTATTATAAATCATGAATTCATGTTTTTTTTCTATAATTATTTAACATGTTTTGTAAGTATATACATCTAATTTAATATGCACAATATATATATATATATATTTTTTTTTTCCCACGCTATTCTAGTATAGCAACCTTTTCAATTAAGAGTCCATAAAATTTCATATTTTTATCAATATAGAGGAGTGGGATGTTTAGATTACCTCTAGATTAAAGGTAAATTATACTATTAAATTTAACATAATATTAGTTAATAAACATATTTTAATATCCAATTATACATATATTACTGTTATCACATTACATATATTACACCTTTATACAATTTATTATATTTACACTATTTTTTATTTATTTAGATAAACATTGCTCTCCTATCCAATATAACTAAAAATATACAACTAATATAGTCTAATTATTTCATTAATGCAAATACATTTAATACATCTATTCTAATTTTCACACAAAAAAAAGCTACATAAAATACTTAAAGTATATTTAATTATTACTCAAAGTCGACTATACTAAAATGTTAATGATATAATTGTTAACTTTATCTTAATCATGTACTATTTGGAATAACTAGTTAAAAACACAATAAAATTTGATTTATTTATTTTAATATAACATTTTTTCAGTGCACGATTTAAAAAGTATTTTGTGTATATATTAATTGTATAAAACCAACGTGTTTTAGTTTTATGCACAACCGATTTTTATGACAAATTTATATTGAGGTAGCAAGCCTGGCCTAATACATTTTTAACTAAATAAATATAATACTTAATTTAAACTCGATAATAATTTATTTTGATCAAAAACTTGGCCTATAGTAAATAGATCCAAAATAATCTATATTAATAAATAAAGAAAGTAAATTTTTATAATTTACAGAAAGTATAATTTCTTTTCAATTTATTTAAAACTTCATATTTTAATATATTATTATTTATAAGCTATATTAAACATTTTAATAAAATTAAGTATGATATTTTGATACAATGTAGGCAATTATTAAATAAATAGTATAATTATATATTCTTTTTTGGAAAACGAGCGTTCTAAAAATAATAGCAAAAGTTGTATTTGTAGTCATGTTCAAATTTAGTTAATTATTATAAATAATATACTATTTAAAATTTAAAAAAGTTAAATATATAATAAGCATCAACATTTCAACAGTCATTTGGGAAAATAGAATGTATAAAAATATACAATTGTTAAATATGAGTTTGATATAATAAAAAAATTAAACGATTTAAAAAAATAAAACATGTAGATAACAAGAATTTTTAATATAAAAACAAAATTTACAGGTTTACTACTAGTTCAGTTAATTGCTGATTTTTAGAGACTGATAAATGTATGGTTTTACGAATATTATTAGTTAGCAGTAAAATAAATAAAATTTAATTAATATCGTTTTGTTTTTAAAATGTCTAAGGTCTTTGGAAACTTTGAAAACCATAACAAGAAACTTATCTGTAAGTATTTATAAAAATTGTAATTAATATTCAATGATGCAATTATTATTAAAAAATTGAACAATAATACAAATGATACAATAAATCAACTAAATAAAAATGATAACAAATAATTCACCAATATGTGAAAACATGAAAATATAGAATTTGCTAAATATAATGGTTTACAATAATTTCTGGTCAAATCAAAACAAACTTTAAATCTCACTTCTTTTTTGGCAAATATAGATTTTTGGGGGAAATATTATATCAGCCGTTTATGTCTCTTATAACACTTATTATATTATATTATAAAAAGGCACTCTAAATATTTTACAGAAAAAAAACTCCATAACTCAAATGCTAATGGTTGCAACAGAAATTCTCAAGCAATGAATACAAAATGAAACGTACAGTTTTAAATAATCATAAAAAATTTGAAATTTGTAAACAATAATTTAACAAAAGCTAAAGAATTGTTAAAAAAAAAAACAATAACAAGTTTTTAAAATTCCATTTTATAGACTCTATTGAAGTAAAAAATAAAAATAAAATTGGATAACATAAAATAAAAATGTAACAATAATATTATACAATTTGTTTAAAAAATTAATTTGGATACAGAAAAATGATTAATTTTGTAAACTACATTATCAACTTAAATAAAACTTATTAAAAAATAATAGATTGTAAAATTTTTAATATTTTATATAGACTTAGTGAATTATTTCACAATACCTTAATAATATCAACTAGAATAATTACACTAACAAAAACACAAATCAAATATAAAATTTATTTTTGACTATGAACACAGTTTTGATAAAATCTAATAATATACATGTTATAACTTATAACGTATAACAATGTATATTAATATAAATAATTATGTAAATAATGTATAAACATTATTATAATACAATTTTTAATTTAATTTAAAACACTTGTAACCAACAACTTTAAAACCATTTATCAAAATGTATAAAGGGCCCTGTAGAAACTATTTTGTAATTTTTAATTTTGTAAGTAATACGTATGATTTTTTTATGTTGTGAACGTCACACAACTTTTTCATCCATTCAGGCATTGAATCGTTGTTTAATGAAATATTGTTATTAAATGAAGTATCTATGCCATTTTGTGATGTAAGTGTCGCGTTACTGTTTTCACAATCGTACATTATATTTTGCTCATCAGAATTATTGCAGCTGGTATGATGTTCGGGATTGTTATTTGTTAATGGTTCTGGTTGACATGTTTCAGGTGTGTCTGCCATTTTAGTTTCGTCTACTTTACATTCATGTTGGATTTTTTTCCTTTTTATGTTGAGAAGAGAAAACGATCTTCTGCGTTTTTTGGTTTTGGATTTTTTATTTGTAACTGGTTTATTAACAATCTCGGATATATTTTTATTTCCTATATTTGTATTATCATTTCCAATATTTGTATTTTCATTTACAATATTTGCATTTTCATTTCCTTGATTTGTACATTTTTTTGGAATTGGACTGAAAACGAAATCCGGAAGAAATAAGTCTTTTTTTGCTCTTTCATACTGTTTTTTAGTGTTTATTGCTATAACCTTGTCTTTTTTTTTAACATCATCTTTATTTTCTTCGTTCTCGTCTATTTGTTTAGATAATTCAGCCTGCTTAAAAGTATCTTTTGTACTTTGAACTTTGGTCGTTAAGTCTGAATGTGTAATCTTAAAATCAGTAATTTCTGAAGTTATTGGATTTTCAGAACAAGCAACATTGTCATTTATATTTTCAGTTGCACCCGATTTCTTAATAAATTCTGTAAATAAATCATCGGTTACTGATACTGAATTACTCAAGTCCGACTGTACCACTGCACTAGAGTTTGAGACGCTCGATAATACTTTGTTTAACTTGTTATCAAATTCTAATGATTTATTTTTGTCCCAGTTAGATTTATCTTTTTTACTTTTAGACTTTGATCTACCTTTTTTTTTTCTGGTTTTTTCTTTTTTTTTTTCTTTTTTATTACCTTTCTTACTGCTGTTGTGCTTGTCACATTTTTCAGGTTTTGAAATTCTAACTTTAACTACATTTTTATGCATTGACTTATTGTTTGTATTTGTATTGTTAACTGTAGTTAAATCTTCAGTTACTCTTGTTACTTCCATTAAAATTGTATTACCAGTGTTCATATTAGAATTATCAGTACTAATCATAACGTCCGTATCAAACAATGAATCAGTACTGTCATTTTCTCCCTTAACTTGAGAGAAATCCAGAAAATTACTTGAAACATTTTCCCTAAATTTTATTTGAACTTTGTCATCGACCTTGGGAGATATATCATTGGGGAATTCTGTATTTATATTTTCATCAATAATAGGTACAGAGTCCTGTGAGTGGCTTTGAGGAGAATTCAATGAATTGGAGGTTTGACCTCTACTGATTGAACCACTATTAGCTTGAGACGCGGCGTTTGGTGAAACATTTTGTGAAGCGGTCAAAACAGTTGAGTTTTCAATGCCATTATTTGAATTACTTTTTTCAGATACATTATTACGAGAAGAACATGCGATGTCTTTATTTATAGATGCACTTACATCACCTAAGTTTATACCCCCGTTTAAGGCACTCATGTTTGATAGAACAGATTGGCTAATTATTTGGTTTAAATTTTGTTTCCTACCAGCAGTTGGCATAAAATTGTCCGTAGTGCTTGAAGTACAAGGCATTTTGACTTCTTTTTCATGAGCTGTAACATATTAAAACTTTGGTTTAGTTCATTAAATCCATATTATTTTCTAAATTGAATTTTATAATGTCTATCTCAACTACAAATTTTATGTTTCTTAAGAAAAATATCAATTGTATTATTATTATTATTCATATCACATCCCTGCCTAAAAAGTGACACAACTGAGAAAACATGATTTTCCAGTTTATTATGACATACGTTGAATAAATATCATAATTATATTGTGTAAAAATGTAAAAAGTATGTTCTTATTTTTCACTGATAGTAACAAAAAGTAATTTACATTTACTTGGTGATGGTGTTGGTCGAGTAAGTGAGGGAAAAGTGAAAGCTGTACGAGCTTTGGCAATGAATTCGGTTGAATTAAAAACGATAAGTTGACAAAACAACTCAAATGCTGCACAAATTATTCCATCAATAAAAGTCTGGGATGCAACATCATAGTCATACCTTAAAAAATAAAATATTATCTGTTTAAAATACATAAATTATTTAATGTTACTGTAAATATCTTAAGTTTAATAAATGTTGAGATTCATCAGTAACTATTTTAGTGAATCTTGGAGATTCCATAATACAAATTATACTACCACAATCTTAGTTGAGTTTGTGATGTTACTGAATTAATTTTTTAATGTTTTAAAGTTTGTTTTTATGTAAAAATTTTGCATTTAAAGAAATAAAATATTTAAAAAACCATTAAACCCAAAAATAATACTCTATAGCGTATACGTATTTTGGCAGCAATTTTACCATCATCTATCATTAAATTGTCATTTATAAAAAAAATTAACTTACTATTACACTAGTCAACTAAAAAAAAAATTTTTAATTTTTTCCTCTTACAATTACGTAGTTTTGGGCTAGTATGCATGCACTGATTTTGAGTTGAACATTGGTTTATTCGTAACAGCTCGTGTTTTTTAATATTTACAAATTAAGTTTTTAAATTCAACTCAACTTGATAAAATGTTTGTAGTACACGGCTCAAAGACGTTGTTTACATAATCCAAATAGTGTTTTTTTTATATTTGTGGCACATACGTCTTTAACAAATATTGAAAACCTATATCAAACTTTGTTAAAACTACATATTTCCAATACTTTCAACAAAAATTGGGCAATCAAGACAAGCAATGTGTGCCTCATATTGTGTACCTGTGGCAATGGTCAATGGAAAAAGGAATACTATTAAACATAACACCGATTCTATGGCGGGGACTTTAAAATCATCATGACGACTGCTATTTTTACGTCGTAAATATTAACAGCATCAACTCTGGAAATTGAAAGCCGTAGACATATCCCAACTTGCCCTCAGCTCAATGACCTCTTTTACAAGCTAGTTATATACAAGCTACACCAACATCATCAAAATGCATTGATCTTATGGAAATTGAAAACATAACAGATCCAGATTTCCCATATGATCAGTCGTCAGAGCTCCAACCGTTTAATCAAGAGGAATTGAATGATCTGGTAAGAGATTTAAATTTATTAAAAGAAACTTCAGAAGAGCGTTATCAAGAAAAGTTGAAGTTTACAAAGAGATCAGCCTAAAAACGTGTATTCAAGATATTCATTTAAGAGATCATTTTATAGCACTAAATAATAAAGAAATTTATATATTCATTTTATAATTTTATGTTATACAAGTGAATATAGTTTTAAATTATATATGATCTATATTGTTTCTTGTACTTAATCGATAACTTTCTGAATTCAATGGTGAAAAGGTTCAGTTTAAATAATTTAAAAGTATTAAAGCTAGAATCTGTTTCAAAGTCTATAAATCATATACTTAACTTATAAAAAGTAATTTAATAAAGTTTATTTTAAGTAATTTATGTGCATTTGGTACTTACAATCTTTTATAAAGTTTTAATTTCAATGATTTATTAGAATATATTAAGTATGTTATAATAATTACAATAATAAAATATAATTAAAACTGATTTTCAAATAAGAAGTAATGGCAAGTATAAATGGACCATGTTAACATTTTCTCATTTATCCTTGCATAATATGTTTTAACTATTTTTGTTTCTTATAATAATTTATCATATCATTTAACGATAAAAAGATATTACACTTGAACAGGACAAATGTACAAATATAACCTTCCTCGAGTAACAGTTTTAATAAAGACCGCAATAATCTCTACATTTTATTTAAGGTATTACCTACCCCGTAACAATATTTACAAGGTCCTGTTGGATGGTATCAAATGTTGTATTGGACCTTAAATTGTGCATGTAGGCATTAATGTCATTTATCATTTTGGTTTTTAGAGTGTCACAGAAAACCTATAAAAAACAAACTATACAACATCCAAGGGAAAAAACATTAATATTCAATATTATTTTTACTTTCTTGCGCTGACTTATCCGTTCTACCATCAGTTCATGCCAGTGGGTCAGCGATTTCATATCATGGTCAGAATCATTTTGTTTCGACGACATTCCGGATCTCTCCATTTAGACTTTAAACTATAATGCAAATTGCAAAGGCATTATAGAAATTTATGATCGTACTTTGTTACCGTATTTCAACAAACAAATAGATTTTAACATAAAGACATCAACGTACAGTTGGTAATGTTACGACAGTAATCAGTGTAGTAGCAATCAATTGTAAAACGCAATTACTCACTAAAATAAGACATTGCAATTATGATGTTTGGCTATTGCTATGGATCGTTTCTAGAAAGTCAGAATGTCTGTTAATCCTGTGCAGTTGCCTGAGAGATTGGCGAAAGCGCGGCAACAATAACAACGTTCTCGGTCGAAATTTTGACATCGACTGGCATCTAATTGGAAGCAAAATTGGTGGTAACTGCAAGTGTATTAGTGTTGACACGTATTACGCGGCACCTTCGGTTTTAGAAACCCAAACAATCGCAACAATCAGCAGTTACCAGTCCGAAGAAGCCTGTTCGTAATGCCGCAGCGTTGCCAACCTCTAACACCGATTGTCAGCAGACGACTTCCGGATAGTAGGGTTTCATCGTTTTTCTCCGAAGTAATACTAATTATTGTATTGTATCAATTAATATTTTCACTAAACATAGGCTTACACACAAATTTAAAATTTCCATCTAAACAAAAACTGATAAGCGACAATCACGAATTACAATTATAATAATAATAATTCGTATATTTATGTGCGTTGATAAGCGCGGTAACTGCTGATAAAAACGAAAACTGTGCACGCTTGTCTGTGTGCGAAAAAATATGTCTAAAATTAAGTAACATATTATTTTTTTTTATTATATTATAATTAGTTTCGATAAAATAATTTATAGGATGTAAACGAGTTATTATAAGTCCTAAAGAACGATCTTGGATTTTTAACACCTACGAGTGTTTGCACGGCGACAGTTGTAGATACGTTGTACCGTATACGTTTTCCATTATGGTCGATCCATATACCCTTATCATGTTTCAGATAGGAGGGTGATATCCACACATTCAAACCACGAACGTATATACCTACGTCCGTGATTTGAACTTACATAGTTATATCATTGATGGATCATTAATAATAATTGTAATAAATCTAATATAATATTGTCCCGTCACACTGCGCGTCTTCGTAAGATGATGTGCTCTTTGCCGTTGCCGGCGAAATCGTATCTGTATAGGAAAAAGCTGACGAAATCGGCTAAAAAGGGTGGAACATTTTTCTTTATTTCTCTTTTTCAAGCAAAGTTTTATAAATTAGTGTCTGAAAATTAGACTGAATGTACATCTAGAATATCTAAGGAATTAGATAGGCATTTACTAAACCCGAGTCCAACTTTTTTTTTATATAAAAAAAAGTATTTCGCATTGACCGTTTTAAATGTCTAGGTTACTTTGTGCAGAGGCGGATAAATAGTTAATTTGTTACAGGGATTACTATTTTAAAGGGGTTACTGAAATAGGAAAAAATTTGCTCTAATTGCATTTTTTAAAACGCTCCCATCAGAAAGTCTAAAGCAGTAGTCAGCGTCGATTAAAGCAAATAGTACGATACCTATTAAAAAAATGTTTATAGTTGTACTATTCGTTAAGGTTTTTTGTGGATAACATGATGCATCACAATAAAAACGACAGCTGCTCGTGCACGTGAAACGTCCATAGATGATGCGCGAAAACTGAACGAGATTCAGGATTGTTCTGAACGGGTTGACTCGCTTGCCGCGCTCAAATTAAAGTTTTCACGTAAATTGGCTCGCGCGGCAAATGAACGTTTTGCCGCGGGCGAACATGGCGCACGCGGCTGCCGCGCGTAGTCGATACGCGCTTTTATATGTTACAAGCTGTCCCGACCCGGCGTGGCCCAGCATTTAGTCTGCCAGGGCTGAGTAAAATGATTACAAATTAAAAAAAAAGTATTTTGTATATTGTAAAGCTTTAGCATACCCCATCATAGCTTTTTTTTATCCACACATATACATTACATTATATTGATTATGTCCCTCTTATTCAAGGGTCCCAGTCCCAGATCCGGTTCCAATCGTGAAAATGTTTAATAGCGTCCCCAGAATAGTGGTACATAGAATCGACGTGTTCATTTAATCATCATTTGCCATATATAATAATACAAACATACCCTGGCAATTTTAAGTCGCTAGCTATCATAGTTTAGGCTGTGCGTTGATTATGTATCAGTCTGGACTTTTTCTTTTATACAAGTAGAGATATAGAGATTGTACATTTTAAGTAGGCGCGCTACTTTAGTATCGCAATTTAATGTCGATATTTAGTGTCGTCTTCGGTTTGGGGGGACCAAGGCTAAAGCATGTTCCATGCTAAAAAAAATTTAATTTCTTATTAAACCATACGAGATATTGAGTGGTTCACCAAAAATGATCACCCAGCATCCTGTTTAAGTTATATTTTACCAAGATATTCAAATACTTATCATATTATTAAAAAATAACAATAATTCATAACAACAGCAACAATTTAAGCGCAGCAAAAAATACATGCCAGTGCAATCTATATTCTATAATATTAATTATAACCAATAGTTATAATTGGTGTTAACGTATTTTTTATGTAAATAATTAATAATACAAAAAACTCCATTTATAATCACTTGTTAAATACATTATGAATATCATGATCGTGTTTTACATATGTATATTACTATTATACATATTTTTTACAAAATCTTTAGGTACACATCATTTTTTATTTTTTGTAAAATTTTAAATCAAATTTATTGATATTTATATAATTTTATCAAATTATAAATTATAGTGTTTTCGCACTTATTTATTTTGGTTATAATTACTACCTACCATTATAGACAATTGTACTTACAGTCAAATTTACATAGCGTACTTACCGGTTGCTTGTCTTTCAGTATTCTTACTCAAGTAGAGCCCACGCAATGATTTGTGTGCTTCCTAATTGGTTTCACGTCTTGCGACGTACTTAACCAAGAATAGACCAAAGTATTGACAAACAGATAGCGCGTACTGGGCGGAATTTTTTCAACATATCCTAGTCCAAGTACTGCCCGCCTTCTTAAAAAGAATATTATTTAACTATAAGGTTTACCAATACAACTATTCTCTATTAGACGAGTAAATTTATTATTTAATACGTGCGATATTTTTTATTAACTGTACGTAATAAAATATAAACATCGACCAATTATAGAGCATAATATTATCAATTTTTTCAAATGGAAATTTTTTGATTTTTGACAAATTAAGTCGTAACTCGTATGAAATATACTAATAATGGATACTTCAAAGACATGTTGACTTTTTAAGACATATGTAATCAATAAATATGTATATAATTTTTGGAATTTTTAAGACGGTGCGACAACATAAACCCGATCATGATATAATACCTACTGTATTTAAGTAAAATAAAAATGAAAAACTACATATTTTATTCTTTCGTTTATCGATTTAAAACAAATACATCATTACAGTAAAAAAATCTTAATAAATAATATATTGATTAACAGATAACCGAGGCCTGTAAAAATAGCTATATGAAAACATAATATTTGGTCTTGACTTGCGACACATTTACTTAAGTTTTATTTAAGTAACTTTGTCAGCCTATCATGATGCGCATTAAAAGCCAAAGAAGGTATAATATATTACATAGGTACAATACTAGCATAAGCCAAAAAGAAAGTACGCCATTGACAAAGTTCTTTTTAAATCTAAATATTTCTAAGTACGAGTAAAAATAAAAATGAAATTATACCTAGGTGTAATAATAATTATCATAACTGTTGAAAATAATTTATGACATAATATTGATTTTTAAATACAATTGTAGTGCAAATTATAGGTAGGTAATACTTGCAAGTTGCGTCAACATAAAGGTGCTCCGATGAATCAAACATTAAATGACTCAAATATCAAAATTGTTTATTTCTTCCGGTTTTTAAATTGTGTGTGAGAATATTCATATTAAAATAATTTATTAATTAATGTGCCATTGTAATTATTGAAATAAATGTTCTTATTTCGATGAATTCCGAAAAAAGGAAGTTGACACAAATCGAGAAATTATAAAACAAGAAACAGAATGGCCGATGACGTGCAGGTACAGACTAGCGACTACAGAAAAACGCTGACTCGGTACTTGCCATAGATCATAAAAATACTATTCGTCGTTGCCAAACCAATAAAAAAAAATAGTCTTGATAATTAAATTTTTTATCAAGTCTGTCAAGAAAAAATATCGAATAGGCCGACGAGAATCATAATCATTATACAAACGATTTTAGATCATAGATGACAAGAAATAATTATGAAAAAAGCTAAATGTTAATATTATACCTACTTGTGTCCTGAAAAATATACGATTTTCAAAAATGTATATAGTATTATACGCTTACAAGGACACAAGGATCAAGCAAATAAAAAAAACGCTACACAGTAGAACATATTGTATTACCTAGAGGATAGTTTTTCGGTTTCCTACACGAATAGGTACACTATGATATTATGTGATGCGGATGCAATAAGGAACCTACTTTCGGCTTTTTTCAAAATTGAGTCAGTGCCATTTTCTAAACCTTAATTTTTTAATATCTTGTAGCTGGTACATCTTTGTAGCTAAAAATAATGACCAAATTTTTATAATAAAAAATATTTAATTTCTTTGAGGGCAAAAATGTTAGCCACTGTGTTTATACACATGTTTATACTATAAATCTACCAATTATGTATAACTCTTTAATAACAAAAAAAATTAATAGTTACGGCACATAAGTTATGCCTATCTCAATAGTCTCCATGAAACTACTCATATTTTTTTATTATAAAATTAATTCATTGTGTACACATAGATATATTATGCCATGCAATATTAAATTAACTTTAAAAAATCGAAAATCTGTCTTGAAATTATGCATTTATACGTATAACATGGCGTTTAAAAATTAATAAGATTAAGTTAAATTTTTATATTACCAGATGCAGTTATCTTGGCTATATGTGTAGGAGAAAAAACAGTCAACAGGTAATATTTGTATAACAACGGCCACAAGTATTATAGATGAGAGAACAGCCCCAATTATATCCTCCCTATTACCTACTCAAAATTAATTTTAAGTACATTATAGCTATATAGCTTATGTAATGGTTGCATCTATTTTTGTATTTCTACTCTCTACGGATTCGCATCGAAGCGTTTATTTAAAAGCGTTTTCTTCCAAAAAACATATTTATAATAATGGTAGTTCCATACCATTGAAAATATATTATACTTATATTTGTCATTTTCTGACTTAAAACAGGCTATTCATAAAAAATATATTTTAAAAATTCAAATAATTTAAGCATCGACCGTCCAAAATGACACTTTTTCTAATAGTCACCAAAAATCATTCAGTTTTTAGTGTATTAAAAACCATATGAAAATGAATAATAGATATTAAATTATTATTAGGTATATGATGGAACTAAGAAATATAGAACAAACAATTCAATAGGTATTCAATTTAGTGTATTCAAATCAAAGACAAAAAAAAATCAGCTTGTGTTCTGACTTGAATAGCATTTGCTTAAACCTTAAAACTATCACAATACTTATCTACTGAAGCAAATAAGATTTATTTTAACACATTATATAAAAAAAAAAACCTAAATTGTTTACCTATTAATAAAAAAAATAAAAATAATAAAACAAACAAAGCTTTGGCTTGTCATTTAAATGATTCGACGCTATATAATAATATTATTTATAAAAAAGGTAAACACTTTCTACGTATGCTGGAAAAAACTGCAGAACAAATCTTTGGTGTACAATTAAAAGTAAAAGGGAAAGTATTTAGTACAAATTCAAAAAGTAAAAAAAATTATTGAAGCAACTAGTAGTACTATTACAAGTGTTTTAAATTTTTTTAATTAACAAATAAATGAGTGGGAGCAACTTAAATTTATTAACTAAATCATATTTACTTTAAAGTTTTTACTGTAAGTATACATTTAAATTTGTTATTTAATTTAAAACTTAGTTCATGATTTTGTTATAAATACTTAAAACTTTTATTATGTATACATTAAGTTATTAAAATTACATTATAAATTGGAAAGACAAGGGATTTTTTTTTAAATATTTTGTTATGTTTTACTTAAACAATAAGTCTTTTTTTATGAACAATTAAATATAATAATAATTATATTATTATTATACTGAACTCAAAGTCTGGCAATTAAAAATGTAATTTTTACAATTCATTTAAATTTTAACTCTTTAATAAACATTTGCATGTAAGTAATTACATTCTTTGGTAAATATTGAAAAAAAAAATAATTATCCTATATAATAGAATTAACGTTTTTCTAAACGCCAATATTAGTACCTACAATTATTTGATAGTTCTTTACAAAATTTACAAATTAGACAAAAAAATTATTTAAGTACTTGTAATAAGTAATTTATACAATAATTGTACAATTTGCATTAAAATAAAAATATTTACATTTATATAGTATTACAATACACTACTAATTAATGACTTGAAATTTAAGCCTAGTTTTTTATCTCTAACTTATCAACTATTCTAGTTATATTTTATTTTTCAACATACATTTCTTAACAAAAAAAAAAAAAAACAAACCTTATTTATATCCTATCTTTGTTTCTACTAAGAAGTCAAACAAATGTAACTAAAATTATGAGTTGAAAAAAAACTGGCGAATTGCAACATTTCGCCACTCTTAGTTTTATAACCATGTTGTAGTTAAACTAGCATTTAATCTAAAAGAAAAATGAAAATCAAATTTTATATTAAATAGTAACATATAAGCGGTTTTCTAGGGAAATGTATCGTATTTGTCTGTTGCATATGTGAGATATACATACAAAATGTTTTATACGGATTTGAATATTAGTTAGGTTTAGAGTCAAATCACTTATTAAAAATATTTAGTTGAGTAAATTTGTCTAAATTTTCAAAATTCTTATTTCTGAAACATATACAAGAGGAAAACATTTTTTTTAAACTTAGCACTGAATATATACTTTAAGAGTAATAGTTTAAGAAACGACTGTTTTCTTGGATTACGTTATTATTTTCAATGTTTGTAAATGCCTTGATAGCTTTTAAACAACTGATTATCCATTAAATTGGAAATTGAATTTTGCTTTAACAGTTATTCGTGTTACAAGGTCAACAGTATATTAAATCAATTAATTCAAATTGAACATATTGAAATTTAAAAAAAAAAACACGTTATGTGCCTAATGGTAATATTATCATCTATTGCATTGATGTACTCATGGTACAATGTACAATTTACATTTCAAAATTAAAAAAAAAAACACACAAAACAGACCTATTTAACTATATAAGACTTTATTAAAAAGAAAAAAATTGAAGGTAAACATGTTTACTTTAAAAGAACATCAAGAAGATTATTACTATTATTTTCCAATTACACATTAGATTTTTTATCTGTTACAAACATGGAAGATTTAATATAAAATTTAATTTTACCAAATTTACGTTCAGTTATATTTATGTATACTCATTTGGTTTATAACATTATTAAGGTTCCTATTCAAATTTTATTTATCGAAAATAATTATAAATAATGACTTATATTGCACAATGTCTTGTACATGGTGCACATTTGCGATGTACACAAAGTTTGCACAAAAAACCACAACCCTTTATATAAGCGTAAATAATGGCAATACTTTGTGTCAATCAAATTTTGATTTAAATTGTCTATACATATATAGTACATAATATTATCATAATTGTTAGTAAACAACAGTTTTAGAGTTAACTGTTTTTAAAACATTTGTGCTAGATAACAAATATACGCCTCCAACTGAGGCAATGGTAACTTAACGTAAAATATTTAAGAAATGATAGACAAGTAAGGTAGCGCGTTAACAAATTAAATTGTTCTCCTTGATACTCTTCTAAGAGAAGTCCGAGTTGTTGTCACCGGCTTTTGGGGTGGGCTCTTTTCACGTTGTGGAGATTTACTAGGCGATTTCTTCTTCTTTGTAGTATTGCTGTTCCTAAGTCGACTCGATAATCGCCTGTTGTTATTATTTGGTTTTTTCTGAGGTGTTGACTTTTGTCCGGACGACTGTGTTTTAGACGGCTCATCGTTTTTCTGAGGTTCATTTTTGGCGGTGGGTTCGTCTTCGTCTTCTGTTACACGACCTCGGTACATACGTTTAATGACTTGGGATTCAATAAAACCATCTTGTTCGACATTTTTACGTTTACTTCGACGGAAGTTGTAATGGGGAGTGCCACTGCTCATTGTCGATGTACTATCTTCCGACATACAGGTCTCAGAATCCGCTATCATGATGTTGGAAGGCGATTCAGGGCACAAATCATTTTGATTAGATACGACTAAACTGGTTTTATTGTTACCATTCACAAATAACAGTTTGTGCTCGTAATCACTGGAATCCTGATTCATTTCGTTAATTAGAGCTTGTTTGAGAAAACTCACTCTTTGCCTGTTCTTTTTACTTCCACTGCTCGTCGGTTGTTCGTTGTCTAATGTATTGGTTGTATGCGACAAAACAGACTTTCGTTTACCTTGTAAAGTACTAGAGTCGTTCAGTTTGGATGTACTTCCTTGTGACAAATTATGGGTTGGACTCACTGATTTGTCGAAATCATTCAATATAGCGACATCGGGAAACAATTCGCTCGTACTAGGTTTATCGACACCTAAATCTTCAATGTCATCGTACAGATTATACTCTTTTAAAGCCGATGCCACATTATTGTCAATTTTTTTACATTGTTCGATCATGAAAACTTTTAGATCTTTATAGGTTTTTATTTTTGCTGTCTGGAATACACTTTGTAGTTGTTTCAGATTTTCACCTTCTAACATTTTTTCTGTCCCCGGTGGTATTACTTTTGATAAACATTTATGCCAGTTTTCAGCTGACGCATCATTTTTTAAACGAAAAGCCAACGATCCAATTTTTGTGTTTGTGCTGATGGATTGACAGTGCAACATATCAAAAACCGTATTGTTTAAACATTTTTCATTTTCATCATCCTTTTTCCAGTCATCTTTCGGTAAAATTTTATTATTTTGCTTATCTGTTAAAATAAAATAATACAACTTAATAAATATTATTCTATGACTATTATATAGTAAAGGCATTCAAAAGTTTGTGACTAAAAAGTTAGAAGAAATATAGAGTATTTTTTTTAATGCATAATTTATACCCTAACTAAAAAACTTTAATAGTAGTTTGAATTTTGGAACTTTACCTTATTATTCATAACTACCAAGGAAACAAAACCTTAAAATCCAGTTAAGTTTATTAATTTATATTATGTATACTTTAACTAGTTGAGAAAAAGTGGAGCTATAGCCTAAAGTTTTACGAGTAAAAAAACATATTAATATTATATTATTAATAATTCAGAGTGTTAGCAAATTTTGAAACTTAAATGGTAATGTATGTATTTAATTAATTTTTTAATTCTTTAATCATCAATTTTTTAATCATCTTGCACAAGCCATATCAAATTAGTTATTTCTAATAAACATTTTGACTAATACTTACAGGCATCATTCGATTTTTTAACAGTGGAAATTATTTCTGCAGCGGCCGCAGCGTTGATTTGATCTATGTTTGGCTTATTTTCTTCTTCTTTTTGGGAAATCTTCAATTCTTTAGAATTATCAATGATATCAATCTCAGGTTCTAACTTTAATGAATTGTCTTCGTTTTTGATTGGCTGCTTGTCATTCTTTTGAATTGTCAATTTGTCTTCAGTTTTACAATCTTCTAATAAAATATTAGTAGAAGGATTTTCAGGAGTACTTTGTCTTACATCCGGTTTTACTTCAACAGAGCTTCCTATGTGATATTGAATGTTTGCGGCACATGTATTAGGAGTTTTGACCGAAAAATATGCTGACATACGCACATCTTCTTTTTCAAACATTTCTTGGTCATTATTGCCAGTGGTAAGAGCGTCTGAATTTTTAACTGGACGTTGTTGTTCATTGCTAATATCAACCTCCTCATTTTTAACAATATCAATTTTTTCAGTGGCTAAATTTTGAGTTTCTGGTAACGCTACTCTGTCAATCAGTTCAGATTTTAGTTTTCCCTGTTGAGCATTTACTATGTCATCATCAAACGTACTTTGGGACCCTTGGCTTTTTTTCGTTACAGGAAGCTTTATTTGTTTCTTAATATCACCAATAAGCTCATTTCTCACTAATCGCGGTGTGGAAATTATGTCTACAGCTTTACTACTTTTCTTAGAAGAAGAACTCTGAGATGTATTTAGAAAAATTTCATTACCTAGCGGTGTAGTAGTACTACTTTGTATGGTATTGTTAGTCAAGGCTGATAGCAAACTGGATTCGCTTAGATTTTGTCCCAATATATTGGCAGCTGTAATTTTTAGGTCGGTAGATTTTGGGTCTTTCGCTGTGATTTGTTGGAAGATAACAGGGCCGCCATGGGCACCGACAGGGCAATGCAACTGGTACATTTTTGATGTTTTACTAGACGCAACAAGTAATCTTACGTTCCCCGTACTACCTTCTGGTAAGGATAAAAATGGTCCTGAGGATCCAGCATTGACTACAATTTGATTAGCTTGAGCCACAACTGTCGGTTTTACATCACTTTCAACTTTGATTTCTTGTTTCTCAGATGCATCACCAATTAAGTTCACTACTGGATTATTTTCTGTAGTCGGCGTTTCAGTGATAACAGTCGGCATATTCTGTTCATCCGAATGCCTCGAAGGCGAACCCATAATGTGTGAAAACTGACTAACGGCGTTTGAGCTGTCTTCGCTGTCGATCGCTTGCATGTCAGAAGTAGGACTCATTTCCATACCGGATGACGAACATGACGTTTGTTGAGATGAGGTTTTCAAGTTTAGCTGACTGGGTTTTTTACGTTTGACATTTGGACTAGGATTGGTAGGTGGATTTGTTCTGCGTCTAGGCGCAGGTTTGTTTTTTAGCTCTGGCGAATTACGCAACTGTTCCGCATACTTGTCAAGTATGGCGTAAATCCGCTGTGTCGTTTGTTCGTCTTCTTGCAGCTTTGGCATTGGTTTTTGTAGTACTGGAATCTTTACGGTCGAAGTTGTTGGAGAATCATTGGGTGTTTTAATCACTGCCACCGGTGGAAGTGGCTTTGGTATGGTTGCTATTGGGTTAGAACACTGCGTGAGCCTGTCAACTGGTTTTGGGGTGGTGTTGTTGGTGCTACTGCTTGATGACGGAGATACAGCTGCCGAAGACGTTGAAGATGTTGGAGTAACGCTACGCACAATTATTGGCGTTGTTTTTTGAAGTCTGTCACCGCCGCAATTGTTGGTGTCAGCTGAGTCTTCTTCTTTTATCATGGTTTGGTTGGCTATAGTTTGATTGAGAAACGAAAACGTGTTTTTGTTTAACGAGAACATTGGGGTCTGACTGTTTTCGGTTGTTATCAAATCCACATTTTCCGAGGGGGAATGCAGTAGATCGTGGTTTATCTGTGTTAACATGTTGCCACTGGTGCACATCTCGTTCATCAGTGACTTCTTGCGCACTTCTTCCAACACAGATTCAAATTCCCGAACTTGTTCCATCGTTTCTTCGGTAACGTTGCTTTTGCTGGAATTTACGGCCACTTTACTTTCAGCATTTGATGTTTCAATGGCAGTTTTCAACAGATTTGAAACGCTCATTGGAACCAGTCTTTCGCCGGTCGACGTAGCCTGCACTTCAATATTTTGTTTTCCATGACGGATAAAACTCTGCTGTAGATTTGGATGTTTCCGCAACACTGATTGGATTATTGATGGCGACACTTTTAACTGTCTCTGCACGTGAGCCAACCCTTGCATGGAACTTATTACGCTTCGACCAGTTTTCAAGTCGCTGGCCGTTTGTATGGGGATGGTGTAGACAACATTTGGAGTAGAGGTTCCTGCCGATGAATTACTGATGGTCGTGGCAAACGGCGTAATAACTTTTGCGACGGATGTGATTACGTTTTCTTTTTTAATGTTATTAGAATCAATGATATTTCCACTGTGATGTTGATGACTGGACGACGACAACTGCTGAGCAATACTTTTCATGGGCAAAGACGTTTTGCAAGTCATTATGACGTTACTTTTGTTGTGGCCACCAATCGACAAAATGTTATTTTGATTCGTTGTAACAGAAACACGTTGGGTTTTGTTAGCTACTGAATTCAGCGGTGTTATGTTGCTAATGATACATGGCTCAGAATCCGTGTTTGTTTGTACTCCTTTTGACGTTGAATATACCCGAGCGACTGGCAATGGAGTTTTATTCACAATCAACCCTGGACTCAAAGACAGGCTATTCTGGAGATTAGTAGAAGATAATGTTGAATTATCACCGACAGCGGCTGAATTGTGGCTGAACTTGTTATCGTTGACAATGGCTGGGCTGTGACTGAACTTGTTATCGTTGACAACAGCTGCACTGTGACTGAACTTGTTATCATTGATAAGGGCAGCGCTGGGACTGAACTTGTTATCATTAACAATAGCAGCGCTGTGACTGAACTTGTTATTTTTGACAACAGCTGCACTGTGACTAAGCTTGTTGTCGCTAATAACAGCAGCACTATTACTGAACTTGTTGTCGTCGTTAATGTTGGACGTGCTGTGACTAAACTTATCATTAATAATAACAGAAGTGTTACTGAACTTATTATCATTGATAACGGCAGAGTTGTGACTAAACTTTGCTTTGCCAAATGCTTGTTGGAATCTTGGAAGCATAGAACCAGTAATTGTAACATTTGGTGACGCATTTGGCGAAATTTTTGGTTTTTCAATTGTTTCTCTTTGACGTTTGTTCTGAGCCATTTTATTTGAAACACTTGGTTTAGTTGAAGCGACTGTCTGTGACTTTGAGCTGTTTAATTGCCCAACACTTTCATCTTGGACTGCGTAAAGTGTTCCTTTTTCAAACACAAACATATCAGATATATTAGCTTCCTTCAGTGCTTTGGTTTTACTTTCGTATGTTTTCAAAGTGCCGCGTTTAGTGGTAGCAGACTTTTTGTTTTCGCCAGGATGAATAATGTTTGATGAACCCTCCGAGGGGTTTGGCAATAAATCAGTCAGGTTCGAAGGATTACTGTTCTTTTCGATGCACTGTAACAGCCTCTCGGTATTACTTGTGACAAATTGTATCGCCTCAGAAGTGGCTGTAAAAGTTTGGCTCACTAGTTTCAAATTGTCATTCTTTTTCTGTTCGTCTTGAAGCCTAAGAATTTGAGGTGTCAGCGTTTTGTCACAATGTTGTGCAATAAAGCTGGAACGTTGCTGTGTGGCGATCCCTGGGTTTTGTGCTGCGACTACATACAACGAGTTGTTACTTTTTAAAATTTGATTTGGAGTTGATCCTGCAATCATCAATGAAATTACCGAAGTGTTAGGACTGGATACTGTCGGATTAATGGTCTGCATACTAGAGATGGCAGCATTGAATGCTCTCTCGCTTTCTGCTGCTGCCATAGCAATAGATGTGTTTGACTTAGTTTGTTTTCCATACACAGATGCTGGTGTTGATGTTATGATTCCTGAAGTACCAGCAGCTTTGTTAATGATCGAAGACAAGACTATCGGTTCACTGGTCTTGGACGTACCAGGAGAGTTTAAATTTGATGACGACACATATGTGTACGCTTGGGTATTATTACCCGATGACATAGCAATAGTTGTTGGATGACAACGTGCATTCACTAGGCTACGCAGCATAGGAGATGAAATTGATGTTCGTACAGAAACGTGTGGTTGAGCAGACATGGTGTACAGAGATGCCGCTGTTGTTTGTGTTGTTGTAGGGACCATTTCGACTGGCACATTTATCGAGTAATTATTACTGTTGACCGATAGAGACTTGTTTTCCGTAGCTAAAGCCAAGTCGACATATTGGTTGCCTGCTTTGATACAATAAATTGTTTTTTTACCACTGGAGTCGGTGGTATGTATTTGTTGACCAGTGGTATGGGTGGAAAAAATTGGCAATGTCACGTCCGAAGTTCGAACTATAACGTTTGAAGATGACGAAAGGTTAACAGTGTTACTTATGTTCATGGATGGATCATTGGGTTGATGCAGCTGAAGGTCTTCCCAACAAATAGTTCCCGAATTTACATTTTGAATTGGCACATCACGGCAAATCTTATCCGGTTGATTGATTTCGTGTTGAGTGGCCGAATTGCTCACCGTCATACTACCAGTAAAACTACATTCTCCTTGATAATTCTTCTCCTTGTTCGGTTGAGATTTTATAGACTGGCATACAGAAACAAAATTGTTTAGCGAACGAGTACACTTGGTTTGGTTGCTGTTGCTGATTGTTTTTTCTGTGTCACTGTTTGTTGAACAGTGGTTGGAAATAGGTACCGTTTGTGGAGATTGTGATACGTTGGTCAGACTGTTGGCAGTGGCTTGTATCTGAACAACATTGACTATGTGATTTGTATTTCCTGGTACAAGGTAATCTAACGAGTTTAAATGAGGCAATCTATCTGATAGCATGCGATTTAAATGCTTCTTTTTGGAATGTTTGTCAACGATGTCATTGTTATTCTGTGAGTCTTTGAATTTACTGTCAATGTTTTTGTCACTGCTTTTTCTTGACGTAGTTTTACGATTCTGGGGCACTTTTCTTATCAAAGAATTTTTGTTCCTATTCTTCCTATTCGCTTTCCTCGGGCACCATAAATCATCAATACTTTTGGTAATTTTTCTTTTCACTTTGCTTTTTGGAGGTGGAAGTTTGGGTTTGCCAGCCAGTTTTTTTGCATTAATTTTTATCTCCTCTTTCAAAATGGAGTCAACGGAATTATCACACTTGTAATCAGATAATCGGCTTTGGAAATCTGGTGATTCGTTGTTCTTTAACAGAGAGCTGACAGCAGATTTGTCATTTTCTTCATAATTGTTTTTCAAAGTTTGCAATGACCGTCTATTTCGTGTCACAATGTCCAAAGGTTCATTAATATCAATGTCCACGTAGAAATCCAACGATGAGTTATTCGATTCAATTGATTCCGTGTCATCGTCGCTCAAATATTCTGTGTCATAGTATAAGATTTGTTTGACGTCGATGTTGTCAGGTAAGTTCTCCAATTTTGGCACATGGAAGTCATCGTATTCAAACTTTAAAAAATTTAACTTAGGATATTGAGTGTTACGCAGCAACACAAGATCCAAGTCTTCTAAATATTGTTTGCACATAGCCTTTAACTCAGGCCATTTTAACTTCCATTTGAACGGTTCATAACGCGGATTGTTTATGACTGCTATTAAATCGCTGTGTAAATGTTGTGACAATATAAGTGGAGGTTTTTTAACTCTCTTAGACAGTTTTGAATTGTTCTTTTTAATGGCACACTTAACCGACTTGGGTTCTTCAGACTTTTTAGATTTAGAATTTACAACATCAAACGTATTACGATTGACTCCTTTAGGATTCACTCTCGACGTCTTTGAGTTTTTATCACAGGAATTTTCAGGAACATTAGTTGGATGTTCTGGGAACCATTTACCACTTTGAACGGCCAAATATTCGATTCTGGCCAGAAGATCATTCGAAGGCATCAATGAGTATGCCGTTAACACACATTCACAGCATAAACTCAAGTCGTTTTCAAGCAAATTAGCCAACTTCAAATAACCTTGGACTAGACTTTTCAGGGATTCTAACGCTTTTTCCTTTTCGTTTAACTGTTTGTACTTTTCTTTTTCGTTTATATTTGTAGCTAACGCTTTAACGTGCATTTCTATGTAGAGTGCTTGGGGTAACATCGAACCGAACTGTGAACAAAAACATTTAATTATTTAACTTTTATTATTTTAACATTAAAGTTAGTTAATTAAATATTAATATTAATTAATTATTAATTTGTTATACTTAAAAAACAGTTCATTTAAATTCATTCAAATTTTTTAAATCATAAGACTAATATTAAAGTTAAATATTATTAGCACTTATTCTATATTTTGTAACTTACTTTGTTTTTAAGTATATCACATAATATGTATATGTGATTTGCTGTTGGAGCCAATTTGATAAAGTAACGAATTACATTGCATAATGATATATCGTTTAATTCAGTTTTCAAGTCTGACCTCATCAGTGTAATGAATATAGTACTCCAATTATTTACAAGACAAGTGAAGTCATCCAAATAATCAATATTAGCTAGAGACTTTGCAACCAAAATGCATGCAGCCATTTCGCAAACATAAACCATATGTTGGCAAATTCTCGGTTGGGCCTCTTTCTTAAATGCAAAGTATTTAATCTTTTTGGTACATCTATCCATAAGGTTTTTTCCATCCTCCTTAGGAGTGAATTTTTTTAACTGAAATACAGATAAAGATATATTTATATTTAAATAATAAGTATTAAAACAATATGACAACATAAAATATCTTTAATTTAAATAGAATTTATTTTAATTTAAAAATAATTTTGACACAAACACACCTGATTAACGAGTTCTTCCTTTTTGTTCAAACGATGAAGACATGCAAAATAAATATCTCTAATAAGTTCTATATCGTTTAGTCCGCTATAAAATTTGCTTATAGTTTGACGGTTGTAGAACTGCATTGCCAGTGACGATAGTTTCAAAGCTTCTTTTTCACACTTTGACTCACAAAGCAGCCTCACCCGTAGAGCAAACAATTTGATGTTTTCAAAATTTAGATAACGTCCCACTAAAAATGTTTTTCAAAAAGAGTAATGTTAGTTTTTAATAACTTACACTAAGTTATACAAAGTCACTGTACTTTCATCAGGTTCCAATGAATCAAGGCAAAGTAATCTTTGAAAATGGTAGTTTGTCCAAGGATCATTAATAGAAGACATCAGCCACTGACAATTTTTTGTTGCATCCTGGCAGTATTTCATAGTTTGTAATTTAAGCAAAATTTTATTCAAAACAACAATGAAGTTTTTCTTTGTTTTAGTGTAGACATCTTCCCATTTTGGTTCGAATAACAATAATGCCGATTCACTAGAGAAACAGGTTTAAATAAAATTAATAAAAACATTTATTAAAGATTTTAAAAATCATTCACAATAATTAAACTTTATTTGAGTTAGATAAAATTTATATACAAAAAGAGTGAAATATAAATAACACATTTAATTATCTGATAATTTTTAATATCATCATTATTAATTATTATTATAAATTTATTTTTAGGTGCCATACTTCTGTTCAATTAACTTTTGAAAGAAATAATTAAAAACACAGTTTCTAAAAAATATTAAAGAAAAGTAAATATTTTTGGAGTTGGTTTAAATTTCTTGAAATTATGTTAATATTATATTAGTTGATATAAGTTAAAAATCATAACTTAAATGTGATGTCCAAGTATGCCAAAACCAACTTTATTGGAAACTTTATTATTTTCACTAACCAAAATGTATTAATAAAAATGAATTGACACTAAGTTTTTCCACAATGCTCCAAAAATATATAAAAATAAAAGTAAAAATGTACTGAGGATCTTTAGGATATCGTATTATATTTATTAAAATATATTCGTTTTTTAATAAATAGATTTTTTTAATTTAGAATAACTAACAGTTTTACATAATATTTAAATTTTACTTAGACTAGTTAAAAAGCAGTAATATTATCTTACCAAGTAGCATGCTGCATAAAAGCATCAGTACCAACACAGGGATCATCTAAAAATATATTGCGGCAATTCTCCCATATAGATATTAGTTCCAGTACTTTATTTTCATACTTTTTCGACTTATCTCTAGTCAAACATTCAAATGCCTAAAATATAAAAATAATTTTATGTTAAAAAAAACCAATTGGAAAATGATTCAATATTTTATAATCTAACAAAAATACATTTATTCATTAATTACAATTATTTTATTGACAAACATTAAATACAACTGAACGATTATACCAATATATCTGTAACACTTTTTTATTGTTTTTTTTATTGTTGACCACCAAATGAATAAAAAGAATAATAAAATTAATAAATATTATGCAACAATATTTTTAAGTACCTATTATTGTTCAAATATGAAAAAAAAATGTTTTTTAGGTTATTTTCCCTATTTTTTACTTTTACAAGTAAGTATTAACACATGAATGTAATTTCATTAAGTGGCTTTTGGTAGGGTCAATTTTTCATTCAGTGGTTTTATGAGGTGTAATTGTTTTGTTTCTTTACATCATTTTTATGTTTTTTAAGTGAAAGCTTAAATGAGTTTTACATAGCTATTAATTTTTAATTCTTGCCTTTTTTCTCCACATAATATGACTAAATATAATTAAAAGAAATAATTGGTTGATGAATAAGCATTTAAACCTTGAAAGTTACTAGAATTTTTCTTATGTATAGCTTTTTATTGTAATTGACATTAGTAAAAATAAAATATACTGTATAAAATATGTACTTATATGTATTTTTATAAGTGTATTTTTTTGATATTTCAGCATTTTATAAAAATACATATTTAAATATTGGATTTAATCAATTATATAATGACTCAATATAAAATAAAATAGTATTTTAAAACAATAAAATAAACTTTTCAATAAAACAGCAATGCATTATATAAAGGGGAGAGATATGCCGAGGAAGACACTTATTAATTAGTAAAAAAGGGGAGAAATATTTCATGCATATTACTCCTGTAGTACCTAAATGAACGTTTAGAATGAGTGAAACTTAGTTTAAAATAATTTAAATTAAACTAGTGAATTATTATGTTTAGTAACATTAATGATATTTATAGTGAGCGCTTTTATGAAATATGAATACTTTATTTGTGATGTAATAAGTAACTGTCAAATAAAATTAATAAACTGTAAGCCGTTTTAATGACATTAACAGCAAGAGATTTATGGGTAAAGAGAATGTTGATAAATTGCTTGAATAGACAGTAATTTGAATTATTGTTTAATTATATTAATAAGCAGTAAACATACAAAAAAAATATGTACTAACCTTCAACTTATTATAGTAAGTTTGCGATAAAAATACCATCAGTGTATTTGTTTGAGTTTTGAGGCATTCCAATGATCTATGGCATTCGTATATAGAGATCTAAAAATGGATAAAAATGCAAAATGTTTACAAATTGTTTTATCATTTTATTACAAGTTCCACATTTAATAAGAAGCAATAAAAGTAATAATTAATTCAATTGAACAGTATAATCAATTTTGCAGCAATAATTGATATAAAGTAGATTATTTTAGTAATATAATATAGTATACATGATAATTTGTATCAATATTTCCAATATTTACAGCGATATTGGGCCAAATTTAAATTCGATATCAAATGTAATTTAAATCACTAATTAATTCACACAATAAAAAGCTTTGTCATTCCACTTATAAAATAAATATTATAATATTGTTACTACAGGATCCTCGAATTCTTTCAAACATAAACATATGGTTAATGATTACTCAAATAAAGCAATAGATAAATATAGCATTGAGAATAAAATATACAATTACTCAAAATAATCTATATATATATATTGGTAAATTATTTTATAACAAACAAACAAGCTAACTTAATAATGTAAAAAGTAATAGTGTCTTACGTTTGTTAGAGAAGGATAAATGTTAAAAGACAGGTGAACCTATTGCCTATATTAAACTCGCTTGAATGCACATTAAGTAAAGATATTTTATCGACAGGACAGTTTGTTTTACAGTAGATTCTCATTGTCATAGTACAAGGAAAATACAAGTAAATATTAAAAAAATTTGAGTAACAGAATTTTTTCTTTAAAAAGGTGAATAAAATTGGCAAATTGTTTAAGACTAAGACGTTACTGTATACATATAATGGTTTTTATTAAAAGACTTGCAAGTGGCTAAGTATTAAGAGAGGCAATAATTTACAAACAAATATTTTTCAAATATACAAAGCTTTTAGATTCACTTTTGTTAAGCTTTAGAAAAGAGTTGATTTAATATTAAATTTAATTAGAATAAGCTAAGTTTGCTAATGTAAAAAAAAAATTCACATTAGTTTGGGTTGGGAATTAAATTCGGAAAAATATGCAAATTGTATTATTTAGCTGTTATCATTAAATTTATTTGAGCAAATTTTATATTCTATATTATGTCGCCTATCTTATGTTTTTAAACAAAAATAGATTATTTTGTTGTTTTTATAGCGTTTTGTTTCATTTAAATTCAAAAAATGTTTTTTTATTTTCATTTTTGCTGTTATATCTTATTATTTATGTTTTAAATGTTGTATTATTAATGTTATAAAACATTTAAGATAACATAAAACACAACATTTTACCTTGAGTTATCAAGAGTAAATATAATGAAGTAATAAACCATTGAGTGTTATGAAAGTTTTAAAGGGAACAAAAAAATATTGAGTTATTGATGACAGACATAATAAGAATGTACTGTAGTTTATATTTTAACATAATAAATATACAATTGACAACTAAAAGAAAAAATAACAACTACCAAAACATGTAAGTCTTGATTGTCTAAGTCATTTATATATAAATAAACCATGAGACATTCTGTACTCTTTTTTTCTTAGAAGAATTTTAAGAAGTAAATTGTAATTATTTTAAATATTTTCTTCAATACCTACCACCCATTTTATAATTTGGTGTGTTATTTACATGAATTTTGAAAATATAAGAATTAGAACCATAGGCATACGGAAACATATTGACTGGGGTGTGCTTTAAATTAAATGGGCCCTAAAATAGGTTGATCAATAACAAAAAAAAAAAGATGGCTAACCGTGAAAATTTTCCCCAAAACTCGAGAAAACCAGAACTAAGTAAAATAACAATTCCATTTAAAATGTCACGTACACCCCACCCTAAACATAATAATATATTATGTGAAAACAGAATATTTATAAATAAAAAATCATACCTATCGGTATTTTTGATATTTCACAAAAAATCAGTATAATAAAATATATCATAATTATTAAAAATAGTATTTAACAAATACAACTGATAACTAAGGTTTTCTTTACATTGAAGTTTAAAACTAAAAAAAACTGACAAATATGTATAACTTTATGACTATATCAATGTAATATATTATAAATTATGTAATTATTGACATAACAATATCATTTAATATGAGATCAAATTTCTTTCCAAAACTAAGTAAATAACACTTTCTAATTAATTACGCTAGAAATTACATTCAGAACTTTTTTTGCCTTTTCCTTTCTTTAAAAGGCCCTGAGGGTTGTTTTTAATTTTCCAAAATAGCAATTGGTAAAAGACTAATGCACTAGTTGCCAAAAAAAAACTTTAATTCACTAAATACATAAGCATAAGTACATGCAAGTATATTGTAGTTCGTATTTTTTATTATTAAATCTGTATAAAATTACAAAATAATTAATAAACAGTACCTATTATCATTAAAAATTAGTACGGTTTTAACTTATTCCATACTACGGTTAATAGATAATTATAGGTCCTGTAAGTCCATGATAAAGAATAATAGTTGTTACCTCATAATAATTTGATAACTAAAGAGTGATATTAAACATATGTTTGAAAACTAATAAAATAAAAACCATGATGGACATTGTGTACTATGCACACCTATGATTAGAATAGTTGTGAACAGTTTAAATAAATAGGAAAATTCCAAGCACAAATGCCAGATAATATTATTGCAACACTAGTAGTGTAAAAGTAAAATGTCATTTAATATTCAAGTAAAACAACAGGTTATTTTTTTTATCTAATAAGAAAATAACAATGTATTATGGCATGTACTAGTGAATAATGCTCTAATCTCAGTTAAAGCCTATAGTGTCAAGTATCTGTATATAATACACCAATGTACATTACATTGACTTATATTTGTGATAGAAAGTAAAGCTATAAAATATCCAATAAAGTTACTGTAATAATATTAAATGATGATGATTACAGAATAATGAAATATTGAAAAAACTTTTAACCACAAAAAATAGTACACTTCGGCAATAATGTTACCTATCATCTGCACTAACAACAGACCATAGTAAAGTTATTGTTTGTACATTTGTTGGACAGGATTTTCAAAAATGTAAAATTCAAATAAAATAAAGAATTCTATTTCATTTCAATATCATGGTAACATTATTATTTGTATTGAGATTCAGACACAGTGCAGGTACAAAATATAAGAATACACTATATATATATATCAGTTCAGATATTTTACACATGACAACAAAAATATATAAATAACAATGGTTATTGATAAGTTTAAACTAATAATTATAAGGCAAATCAGAATAATCTACACATATCATTTGCATTTAAACAAATAACTAATAGGTTAACAGTGATTTAAGATTATGCAAATAACCATGAAAGACGTCAAAGTACCCTAATGTTTTACCCTAATAGAAATTAGTTGTGTTGTAGTGCCCTAAAAGCATTTAAGGAGCAATGAATGGGAATGGTAGATGCTTTTGAGTATTTTTTCATATAAAATAGAAGAACAGATGAACTAGTTTCAAATAAACTCATCTGTAAAATTGTATCGAGTACAAAATTCATCTTGCTAAACAATCTAAAATAATACATTATTGTAATGTTACATTTAAGCACCGCAAATGAGAGTATAAAGATCATACTATTGAAGAGAAACCATTTTTATTTTTCAATACTTTAACCTATTTGACCAAGAAAATGCTGAACATGATTTAACTGAATTCACACCCAAATGACAATAATGGATCAGAGAATTTGTTTTATTACAACATTTTTATTAATAGCATTATCAAAAAAGTTATTAGTTTTCATGTTCAGTAAAAAATAAAAGGTTTAAAACAAGGTTTTTTATTTTTATATTATTAGCAAGCTAACACAAATTGTTTTGTAATCCTGATAAGAACATAGCTAGGAACCATTAGTTATATGAAATTAAAAATTTTTAAAAATATAAAAAGGACAATAATACAAAATACAGATTTTCAATGGCCTTAAAAAATGTAGATTTAAATATCCACAGAACACTTAAAATGGAATTTTTGTAATAAAATCTTAAAAAAATGAATGAATCTTAAAATGTTAAGAATACAAGTGTAAAAAACTAACTACAATTCAAATGTAAAAACGCGTTACATTTTAGAATTCTAAAGTGGAAAAAAACGCCTAATCCAACTGTGTCGTTAGCGTTAGGTGTTTTAGTTATAGTTCAGGCCGGACTACCTTCCGATTGAAAGTCGAAAGATATCGTAACCCAATCGTTATACTACATTATCAACAGTCCGCCACGTCAAAAGTACGCCTGACAGTGACCGGGTAGTAAGCAAATGTTTTGTAATCACTCACCGTTCGTATGTTGCCCAGGTAATTTCCGCCGCCACAGTTGCAGTACAAGGAAGAGCTCGGTGGACCTGGGACATCCTTCTGCTGATGTTGTTTTAGGGAACCGCCGTTGGGCGGCCGATTCGATTTTGAGTTTTGCTTGGACGAAGACGCCATTTGAAGGCGTTTATCACTTCATCGTCCCGGCAAAAGGCGTCACTCAGAAACACGTCTGGACGAGGGATACGGCGCGGCACGACTACGACATGACTACGGCGGCGGCGGCATCGGCGGTCTGGCGGCCGGTGTTGCTGCGACTACGACGACGACAACCGGACGTTACGGCCACTTTTATGCAAACGACGGTGGTCATCTGCGGCGTCCGGCGGTTCAAAGTCCACCGCCGCAGGATCACGCGCGCTCGCAGAAACTCACACCCAATAGGTACTATGATCGAATAGTACCGTACTAGTACGCCGATATTATTAGTATGTTGTAAAAACAATAAGGTGAACGAAAGCACTCGAACAATAATTACCACCAACGAGAAGAGAACACCGTCGACACGGCAGTACGATATATTATAATACTATCACGTCGACGACGCGGAAACAAAACAGACGGATATCGCGACGACCGCGGACGAAACGATAACGGGCGACCGAAGACGTTTTCACCGAATAATCCGCGCACGACAAACCGAACGCATGACCGCGCGCGATAACAATAACAATAATAACAATAAATGATTTATATGTTATACTAAAGTAGGCGATTTTGTTTTAGATTCTCGTCGCTTTTAATAACGCACAATAAACATTGACACGCCAGCGTCATTAAACGGCACGGGGAAGAAAACCAATTTATAAAAAGGAAACAAAATAATATTGTAATGTACGTAGCAACATAGAGTGATAGATATGATAGATATAATATATTATATTACATTACCTATACCTATACACATATGTATAGTATTATTATTTTCTCGAATAAAGATAACAGGACGTGCGGTGCATAATACAACGCGCGCAGTGTGTGCGTGTGTGTGTGTGTCTGTGTGTGTGTGTGTACTGTGACGGGGAGAAAAAAGAACCTTTTGTATAATCAACAAAAAAAAAATGAAAAGGAAGTGCACACGGGACGATAAGTGGTATTTGCAGTACAGACCACATCGGCGGTGGAGAATATTGCATTGCATTCCGTCGGCGCAGTGTGGCCGTCGCCTGGGCTTCGGTTGTTCGGGCCGCCGCCGTTCAACCCCCAGCTGACGGTCACAGAGGTGGCGGCGGCGGCGCGCCCACCCTCACACGACCCTTGCGGGCCGGCGGCTGGTTAGGCACATGCCATAGCACCGACCGCTTGGCGGTCTAATGTCGGCCCGGGACAACTGCGACACTGTCTCGTTACACTGATAGTGCACAGAATACCATAGGTGCCTGCTGCAGTGTTGTGCCTATAATAATATTATATTATATCGTATTGCATTGCTCCCGGGTCGGTGCAAAGTGCAACGTCAGTGTTACATCGTGTATATACCTATATAATATCATGTACCTAGTACCTCGGTATGCACGTTAGGTATTTACTAAAAAAAAAATAAGAAAAGATAATAATAACGAATAATTTTTTTTAAATAGCCAAAGACTATTGGACTTATGACAGTAAAATAGCATTTATATTATACTAAAAGACCCAAAATATAGTTAGCGATTAAATAAGCAGCTAAACGCAGCGTATTTAGGCACAAGTCGTTTGGGTAAACTGGACTAGATGCTCGGCGTTACAAAATATTCTCAGAGCTAGGCATTGGCGAGAAAGGCTATTTCTAACTGATTATTGTTTCAGTTCATCCCTTAAAAGAGTAAATACTGAATAATAACAAACATGGAATAGGTAAGATAAAAAATGTATTTTCCTTGTTGTCGCACCATTTGACTGTAATAAAATTAACTACCAATAAAAAATTCTCATTAGTATGTGTAAATATATCGTCATGTGAGTTCTAACACCACTTAACTCAATTTACCCAACTTACATGAGGCACAAAAAAACTGATTTATTTCATTAGGAAATATATTGCGTCGGTGTTGTTTTTTTTCTCATTTCCAGTGCTCCGATCACCACGGCATGGTTACCATTCGATCGGCCACAAAAAATACATCAATTTAAACTCGGTAAAAACTGAATTGGGCGGTTTTAGAACTCGCGTGACAATGTACACATTACAATTTTAGCTCAAAATAATTTTTTGTAGAAAAAATGCCTATACGAAACCCCTTAAAAAAATGTATATTAATTGATAACGGTTATCTAAGCGGAATATACACCTATAACCTATCCTAAAGTTCGCAAAATATTAAAAAACTCTTTTAGGCTTACTATCTGCTAAAACAATGTATTACTTGCTGAATACTAATATATAAAAACTTTAATTTTTGCTCAAAACTAAGATTATACAAAAATTGCCTATACGTAACCCCTTAAAAACTGTATTCGCGGCAAGAGTATTAACTCATATTAATTTGATTAAATTAAATGTATAAGCTTAAGCATACTATATTAATTGGGCCATGTCATATAATCCCAACACAGTTATCTTTACTCATTTTTTGAATGGAATTTATGCAACTAATATTTAATATAAACTCTTCACTTTGCCTGTATTATATACAATTTACTACTTATTATAATAATTGTCCCGTATTTTATCAATTATTAATAAAATACGGTTTAATTATTTATCTTTTCATTTTCAGTTATGACTCTAGAAGGATTAGATCATAAATACTTATTTTTATCAATTTTTAATTTGGTACTCGACATGATAAAGTTAATTTTTTTTTAATTCATATTTATTTAAATATCTTTAAATTATAAACCGTATTATCCTCACAACATTATGAGAAACTCATAAATCATCAATAATATACTATTTAATACAGCCTAACTGATATTGATAAATACCAAGTCATAAATAAAAACATAACCATTTTATTTTTAAATGCCAGTTAAAAATTACTATTAGGTGTTTTTTATTTTTATTTTAATAAATAATAACTTTATTTTTTTTATCTCGGTTCATTTAAAATAACTTATAGCCTACTTATACGAATCCTTTTTTACATTAGTACAATTATATTTCTGTAAGAGACAACTTATTTATGTTGTCATAAACACTTATCTCAACAAGGAACTCAAAAAAAGGATTGTGTCGAATTGACCTGAAAGTACTTGATATTCTACTAAGTTTCTACCGAATTTTACTAATTTCTAATTCTTTAAAATTAAGTGAATTTAAAATAGATACTGTTTGTACCTCTTCTTATATGGTAGTAAAATAAGGATAAATTTAATAAAAAACATGCTTTTCCTTCAGAATTTTTATTTTTAAAATTGTGGTCGTTAATGCGACCCTTCACAACCCTCATTTTGCTTCACAGGCACAGACTTTTTTAATTTAATGTACACAATTAGATAAGTTATTGTAGAATATAAATTATATTAAAAAAAAATGTATTATTCAGATTTAGATACAATGTGGAATGAACGGCGTACAACAAAAAGTGACTTAATTTATACAATATATTATTAACATTACGGAAAAAGTTTACTCGCCCTCTGGGATTTTGGGGCTGTTTTAGATAGCTATCCGCTTTTTATGTAAAAAAAAAAACTAACGGCCAGTCTGGTGTTGGAGGGAGGACAATAATTTTAAACAACCTGCAGTGTGTCAAAAGCTCAAGGATATTTACTCTCCGGCTTGCCGTTTCCACAGTATTCGTTTTTAAGTAGTCGAAAAGTCTTGCGCAGTAGCAAAATAATCTAAAAAAATAAAATTAAGACGGTACGGCGGTGTTTGTCGAATACTTAATTTTTAAGTATAACTATGTGTTTAAGTTTTGACTTTCATCCCTCTTTGTCAATGACCCAGCGACAGCCCTTCATTGCCACCATTCGTCGTTTTTCTCTAAGGTTTCTCCGATTTCGACCGTTTTTTCTCTTCCTTTTTTATTTTACTGTGTCTACAAAAGAGTAAAACACTCGTAATACTATCTTTGCGAGAGCCTTTGACCTTTTCAAAACTACTACAAAGTAATATGTTTTAACGATATTATCTATATACAGTAGGGGTGGCACTTTGAACATCCAAAATTACAACATGAAAAAAAAAACTATAGAAATCGAACAGATAAAATATTTAAACAATTTCAAAATATCGTTAAATATGTTTTCAATAGGTATCTTAACTTCGATGCGGTGCTGAGAATGTATTGTTTTTGTAACGATGTGTTTTTATTTATTTATACTATTTCTTCGTCTGGACCCACGATATCTCTTAAACCGCTTATCCGATTACTTTAAGTAGCAAGTCTATAGGACTATAGAACAGAAATGGATATATAAAATTTGTAAGTACATTTTTAAAATACCTAGTAAGGCATTAGTAGTAATAAAATAAAATAAAGAACGTTGTAGACCCAATTTTCAATCATAAAAACTTGACTACACAGAATAACAAACGTTAACTCTAACGGTTTGGTAAAAAAAGAAAAAAAATTAACAAGCAATAAAGAAATTATTTTACTTTTTTATATACATTTTATTATAAATTGTAGCTTTAACATATTATGATATTTAAAATGACAACTCGTAGCTCTTACAATTTTGCCTATAAAATAAAAATAAAAACCTAAAAGCATTACTCTTTTATTGAGAGGAGAATAGGGGATTATGTTTAAGGCTATCGTTGAATGTTTGAATACTAAAATAAATGTTTTATAGTCATGTATATAGTTTTATATGTTATATAGATAAAATATGAGGAGCTGGCTAAATTTGTTTTCGAGTTTTGTGTTATTGACGGTGAAAAAAGTGAACTTTTTAATCTTGGCCGCCGTCAGTACCTTTTGGAATAGATTAAATCGGTATAGTAGTTTCTGAAATATACCGTGGACAGACACAAAAAAAAAAAACTATTATAAAATCAAAAACTTTCCAGCTTCTCTTTGAGGCTAACCGTATAATATGAATACCGTAGTTAAGAATTTACATATAATTATACTTATTTTTTTAACATAACAGAATTTTGTACAGCAAAAAATAATAATGTTATGCCTAATAATATTAAAATATAATAATATATTTGTATACATCGGGAGTGAAAAGGCCAAAGGCTATTGACAATCATTATTGGCAAAAACGAGTTAGTCCACTTCTTAAATTGTGTACAATTATGTCACTGACAAAACAAAAAATTTAAAAAACTATAAAGAGTTTTGTAAAAAAAATAGTCTTTGAAGAAAATCAAAACTTTAAAGCTTGTTTTTTAAATGTTACAAAAAGTAAAATAGGCTCTTTCAAGCTAATGCACAGATATTATCTAAGCATACACACATTAATCTTTAAATCAATAGGTAATAATTCCAATTTAACTTTTAAACTATGTTAGTTTAGATAGTTTTTAATAGAGAGTTAAATTTTAAAAAATATTTGTTATATTAATACACCAACAATAAGAAATCCTCAAAACTCTTATCATAAAAAACAGTTTTCTGAAAAATAAATAAACATGTTAATATTGTCTAAACAATATTTAGGTCATGCATAACTTAATCGACCGGAGTCATTCGTTTCATTTTTAGTTAGCATAATAATTACTAATTATTTAGTTAATTAAATTTGTTGTCACGAGTAGAATTTTACCTCGCTAACTCCTCTGACGTCATCTTACAATTAGATGTTTTTATTTATATTTAATACATAGTCCTGGAAAAGTTCAACTTTATCGAAACTAATTATACCGGTATTTTCGACGTCAAAAGAAGTAAAGTTCGAAACGTACAATCTAACTTCTTCCATAGTACAGTATATTCAATCTGAGAAATCGTTTCAAACCGACTGGTGCATTATTAATACAACTCAATAGTGCGTCAAAATAAGTGCTAATACCAGACACTGAGGCACGTAGGTAGCTAAAAAGGAAGGGCAATGGAACATTACGCTAGACTTCAGTCGACTCACCCACTGAATACAAGACCGAG